CAAAAACAGTTCAGTACTGCCAAAGAGTACTGTTATTATCTGTTACATGTGCTTCCAGACAATCATTCAAGTCGTGCATCGATCTACAATAATATGGGTCTAATCTGCTTAGCAATGGACGATGATCAAGAAGCCTCCGACTGGTTCAAGAAAGCAACTTCATCAAACGGTTCGGTTTTAACAAAAGATCTTGATGAAGAATCATTAACAACTACAGACTTGCTGTTACCTCAAGATTCTCCTATCAGTCAAACAACATTATTGATCAAAATGGCCGAAATTAGCGATCGTTTGGGAGATCAAACAACAGCTCTTGACTTATATCGGCAAGTGCTTGAGATCACTACTGATGTGAATTTACAGAAACTTTATCAAGAGAAAATCCGAGCTCTTTTATTTGTTGATGAAAATTTTTAAACTTTAACAAATCATTTCTAATGTTCTTTATATTTTCTTTGATTTTAGATTTAATTAAATTATTCGAGTTATTATCTGACATAGTAAAATATTTGCCAAGAATATAAATTACGCCATGAAGTACACAAGTCAGCCATCTATCGCCCCAAACTTGATGTGTATTGTTTATCATGATGAAAAGCTATCCAGACATTATAGACGTCAACTAAAATTGAGTCTACAACAAAAATTTGAATATACTCGTACTTTTATCGATACCTTTAGTTTGGCAGACTATCTCAATCGTACATTTATTGTGAACAAATTAGTTGTTATTGTGAGTGGAGATGAAGCTAAATTTTTATGTGAAAATATAGAACATGAAAAAGAATTTCTAAAAGATCCACTTGTATATGAATTACAATTTGATAAGAAACCATTAAAATCACAATTATTAGGTGATAGAAAATTTCAATCTGTTGATGGATTATTCCAAAAGATTGATAATGATATCACAAAATTCGTTACGGTCGAAAGTCAATGTGATCGTACTGATGATGACAATAATGAGTTAGATCTACAACAAGAAATATTTCCGTTTGGCATTTACGATTCTTTTAGAAAACAACAATCATTTTGTTATTTAAGTAGAGAAGAACTCAAATTTAACTTATTTCAGTCATTTATTGAAGTTCTCTTAAGGATTAATAATGACAAAGAAGAGGCTCTCAAACAAATGTGGACTAGTTGTCGTGAAGCTGCTCTTTATCAGAATGACTCCGGATGCGTCAAAGAAATTGATAACTTGAAACAAGAATATGATTCAGCAGCTCCTGTTAAATTATATACTAAAAGTTCATCTTTTTTTCGAATGATTAACACGGCATTTCGATTCGAAGATATCGAGAAAATCTTTGATTTTCAACCTTACATTGCTCATATCCATCAACAATTAACTAATCTTCGTACTGAACAGCGATCTCAAATAAATTTCCCGCAAAATGTACTTTATCGAGGCAAAAAAGTATCACCAAGTGTATTACAACAATTAAAAGATAACGAGAATAAATTTATATCTATGAATGGTTTTCTTTCCACGACAACAAGTACTGAAGTTGCTGATATGTTCGCAGGTACCAATACAAATAGAGAAGGTTATCAGTCAGCCGTGTTCGAGATGCACATTGATGAAACAGTTGATACCAAAAGGCCGTACGCGGATATTTCAAACGTAAGTACAATGTCAGACGAACAAGAAGTTCTCTTTTTTATGGGATTCATTTGGCGTATTGAAGCGGTGGACGAAGGACTCAATAATGAATGGATAGTTAAATTACGATTATCTACTGATATGGATTCGGATCTTACGAAGCGTTTCGATGAGTTAAACGATAAATGTACGTTCTTTGAATTGGGAAAGATTTTGTACGAACTCGGTGAATATAAAAATGCAATTACCTTTTACCAACGCATGCTGGATCCAAGTACAAAACTAACAGACAAAACTCGTGCTGATGTTCATCTTCACATTGCTATATCAGCATTTGAAGATGGATCATACTCACAAGCACTCGAACATCTTAAAGAAGCAGAACGCTTTATCTCAAAATCAGTTACGTCAGATGATGGTAAGGCAGATGAGCTTCGACCTTTCTTAGCCGAAGATGCATCTCTCTCATTGATGTGCATTTTAATGAATAAAGGTTTGGTTTATCAAAAGCAAAAAGATCCAGAACGTGCTGAACAATCGTTTAATGAAGCTTTAGAAAAACACGGCTCGGATAAAGATAAAGCTCTAGTACACTATAATCTCGGTGTGTTTCAATCTGGACGAGGAAAGTACGAAAACGCACGCAGTCATTTTTATGACGCACTTTCTTTTAGCACATGTCAAACTTTGAAGACCGATATCAATCAAAGAATAGGAACTCTCAATAACATATTATCTATTCATTAAGCCTATACTAGAGAACTTATCAAAAACTAGATGTAGCTTTTCTGCATCATATTCGTTCCTACGAATGTCTTCTTCAGTCCATCAAGTATTTGATTTTTTTCGACACGCTGACTATATCTAAATCAAAATATTAAAATAAATCGTTGCACTCAATCCGTTCTCTAATTTTTTTTTATATGGATAAATATACCTCTGATGCAGAAATGTAAAGATTCTTTTAAGGACCCTCCAGTGGCCTATGAGTGATTTTTCGAGACTTTAATATATCAAGAAGGAAACGTTCTTTTCAGCTGAAATTTTCAGGGCATTCTACTCACTCATGCACCGCTCTGTGGGCAAAATCTCAGGTCGAAATACCATCATTTGATTTATTGATATATACCATGGCATAGGCTAAAACTTCAGTAAAAATGTATATAACTCTGACCAGAAGGCCTATGGGCAATTATCATTTTGAGATTTTTCACACCTCACTAGGATTTAGTTAATGCACGGGACCCGAACTCCAAAGTGATCCTTCAGTTGGGAATGTTCCCTCGTAAGTGTAGTTTTTTGTATTAATTTAGATCATATAGAGCAAGATCAATCTTATCTTGATTTCGATTATTTCTTCAGGGTTTAGATCGATTTTTACATTATTAATTGAACTTATCACTAGTTAATATAGAATAAATATAATTACTTTTACTTTTTGTATCTATTACTTTATGCTTTATGAGTGCATTTTCTTTTCAAAACAAAATATTACAACTATTCATCAAATGAATGAATTATAATAAAATAAAAATGTATACTATTTATTAATTCAATTGATTTGGATGATCTTCTATAAATGAAGTTAAGTAAACCTGAAAAAAGCACACTAATGCAAAATGGATAAGAATAGAATGTTATTTATTAAATTGTTCTCTACCGTATAGTCGTATATCTCTGTTTTTTTCTCATCATCGATCGTAGACTATTATTCATATTCGATCTCAAAATATAGAAGTAGAAAATAACATTTAATCATTTTCATTATATATAAATATCAAGAATGGACGCATACATTCAATTTAATTGATCTATTTCGGTATCTTATAGTATTCTCTATCAAACGCTTAAACGTGGTGATTGAGAAATGAGAAATCATTGTAAGACATCTCAACAAATAATTTCTCTCTTACTCTGAATCCGAGATCAGAAGACTATAATTGATTTTTTTACATTATAAAATAAATTATAATTCATCATATATTTACTGTATCTAAATTGATCAACGCAGCATAAATAAACGATTGTTCTTTTCATTTCTTTCTTATTAATGATGAATACTCATTGATTAATTCAACTAGATCATGTTTTGCTAACATATCGGTATATATATTGCAGTTTTCTCACTTTTTCTTCATCATACGAGGCCACGTTCGACACTATCATAATTCAACTCCATAGAGGTTATTTTTCTTTTATTAAAGGGAACATTCTCGTAAAGAATTAGAAATGTAAATATGTCTGAGAAGGTCATTTATATATGTTGTAGGGAAAATTAGAATTCAGTCAAATTCGGAATTTGCCCAGGCAGAATTAGAATTCCAGTTCTGCCTAGGCAAAATTAGAATATTATCGATTTCGACTATAAAACTTGAGTAAAAATCAGTAAGGGAAATAGATAAAAGTCTAAGACTAATAGTGAGGGCGAAGGTGTTGATGAGGATGTTGAACTTTGAATACGAGAGCGAGGAGGAGGGTAAAAGTGACAGTGAATAATCGCGGAAAACCTCAGTTTTAGTCAAAACCTCATTGTTTATGAGAATTCTGGTGGTCTAAAATAGACTAACACTTGAATCCTGTACGACACACTCGCCCTCACCCTCACTATTAGTCTTAGACTTTTATCTATTTCCCTTACTGATTTTTACTCAAGTTTTATAATCGAAATCGATAATATTCTAATTTTGCCCAGGCAGAACTGGAATTCTAATTTTGCCTACAACATATACATATATAATTGAATCAAAGTAAAATAAATAATAAAGATTTTTTCTTACTTTCAATAGGCCGAATTGAATATGAAATAAAAATTATTTATGATAGAATAGATTTTTTTTGTCGAAATTCTTTAACATATTTTCGATGGTTTAATAAATCAAAAGATAGTTTCTTATCATTTTACAATTTAAACAATTAAGTTGATTTTTATTAAATAGTCATGATTATTATGATATTTAATCATTAAAACTATTTTATTTTATCTTTTACAAATAAAATAAATTTAATTTAGTATTTATCATAAAAATAGTTTTCATTTAAAAATTCTAAAAAGTTTATTTAAATAAACATTCAATTTTCACAAGATAAAAGATGGACCACGACAAAATCAAGAATCGGCTCGATTATATTACGAATTTTATTTTTAAATACCACGTGCACGACAGAATTAAATAAAATTATCGAAAAGAGAAATACATATAAGATAAAAGTATATGGCTTTATATCTATTAGTAAAATGATTAAACCTAGCTATGTGAATAGTTAGTCAGCGACATACACTTGTGTGTACATAGTCGACTAACCCTGGGCACGTGTGTACATAGACATTTTCTCAAATTTATATTTGAAAAAAAAGACAAATAGATATTTATTTTTTTCTCTAGATTTCTATTCAATGGCAACGACCAGTGAAAAATTACTGTGTTTCACATGTAATGAAAAGAAAATTACTTTTGTTTGTTATGGATGTTCAAAAAGATATTGTTTAGTTGATTTAACAACACATCGTGAATTATTACATGAAGAATTTCGTAATATTACTGATCGTTATGGTGCATTTAAACAAATAATTAATGAATAACAACAAAATCCACAAAGTCATCAATTGATAGAACGAATTCATCAATGGGAATTAAAATTAATCGGGAAAATTAAAAAAAAAGCACAAGAATATAGAGTAATTGTTGTTAAATTATCAGAAATATGTATTAATGATATTGAAATGAAATTTACAGATTTAAAAGAACAAATTAATCAAATTGGTGAAGAAAAAGAATTTAATGATATCGATGTAATTCATTTCAGAAACAAATTATCTGAACTTATTGAAGAATCAGAGAATCTATCAAATGTTTTTATTACAAAAGATTTAAAATCATACATGAACGAAATTTCAACTATTTTGTCAAAAAGTAAGATTTTAAAATACTTTCTAACTGGATAATCCTCATTTTGCTATGAATTTATATTAAACAACTATGAAAACAAAGAAAAATGATGAAGAAAATAAAAAAATATTGAGAATTTGATTCACTCATCTCTAAATGAAATGAATAAGAATAGTATTAATAGAAATAGAAAATTAAATTTATTTGACAAAAAAGATTAAGAAAATCTTTTCTCATTTTCAACTTCATTTCTTTTCTTTTCAAATTAAATATTTGTCAGTTTGTTTCAAAAGGCAAATTCTCTTTCAATAAAAATTATATGGTTTTATATTTACTAGTAAAATGGTTAAACCTAGCTATGTAAATAGTTAGTCAGCGACATACACTTGCGTGTGCATAGTCGACTAACCATGGACACGTGTGTACATAGACATTTTCTCAAGTTTATATTTGAAAAAATAGACAAATAGATATTCATTTTTTCTCTAGATTTCTATTCAAACAAAAAATGGCAAGTGATAAAACATTCTGTTGTACATGTAACAAAGAAAGAATTACTTGTCTTTGTGATGGATGTTCAAAAAAATATTGTTTTATTGATTTAACGGGACATTATTAAAGATTACATGAAGAATCCCGTGATATTACTGATAGTTATGGTGCATTTAAACAAACAACAGTGAAATACGATCGTATATGGTCGTATTTTTTCTGGATACAGTCGTATTCAATCGTTTGCGAAGTTCGTAATGATTGACCTGGGGACGTTTAAAAACAATTTAATGACTTACATGAACAAATAAAACAAGTTTATAAAGACAAGGTATTTAATGAAAAGGAGTTGAATTACTTGAAGAATAAATTAATGGAAATCAGACAACAACTAAATGATCCGTCGAATACTTCTATTCAACAAGGTTCGCCATCATTTATTAATGAGATTTCAATTGTTGCATTAAAAAGTAAGTTTTTAAGAAATAATTTATAGCGGAGTAATTCTCATTTTCTAAGAATTTATATTAAAAATCTATAAAAACAAAGGAAAGTGATGACGAAGAAGATAAAAACAATTTAGAATACTATTGATTTATTTAATCAATAATAATAGAATTCATAGAAATAAAAAATTCAGTTTATCTGTATGTAAAAGAAAAGAATAATAGAATATGAAATAATACTAAAAGAAAAAATTAATTTTTCTTCAGAGTTTAAAAAAATATGTTTGATAGATAAAAACAAAATTGAATTATTTTTAAATTTTATTTTACAGAAAATCAGACAGCGACGTCTTTTCTTATTTTCAATTTTTCTTTTCTTTTCAAATTAAATATTCGTTAATTTGTATCACAAATAAGCTAGATGTTCCAATAAAAATATTCTTTCTCTTTAAAATTTCGATTCGAAAAACAATAAATATAGAATAAAATTTGTCTTTTTATTACACATTTTTATCAAAACTCTATTCAAAATTCAACTTTAACAAAAAAAACAAACTCAAAGTTTCATTGAAAACTAACCTTTTCTTTTTTTTCGATAAAAAACAAAATTTTCTTCTTCTTCTCTAGAATCAAAATTCAACGAATGGAAACAAAATGCTATTACTGTAGCTGGTGGATACGGACGTGGACGAGGACAAAAATTGAATCGATTTCATGGTCCTATTGGAATCTTTATTGATGACAAGAAAAATATTTTCATCGCTAATTCTTATAATCAACGCATTGTTGAACGGAAACATAATGCAAATGAAGGACAAATTGTTGTAGGTGGAAATGGTCAAGAAAATCAATTAACTCAGTTGTATAGTCCATGTGGTTTATCTTTTGATCATGAAAGCAATATTTATATTGCTGATTTTGCCAGCAATCGCGTTCAAAAATTTGATTTACTTATTTCAAGTTTTCATTTTTTTTCATAAATAAAATAAGAAATAAAAATAAAATAATTTAAAGGTGTTTTTTTCATTTTTTAATTCATACTGACAATTCAAATTAGAATTTCTTAAGAAAAAAGTTTCTCATTTGAATAACTTGAAATATTTTTTTAAATAATAAGAAAGGTTTCTTATCAACATTTTAATTAGTTTCAGATGATCAACATTTTAACAAAAATTGTTAATAATTTACATAAAAATTATTAAATTCTAATTAAAGTTATTCAAGATTTATTGAATTATATTAGATCTTATTGAATTATTTCATATCTTATTAGATTAAAATGATTTGAGGGTGTGGATATGGGTGAAAATCTGAGCAAATCATAAGTCTTCGTCGCCACTTTTAATCACACCGACACTCTCAACAGTTATTGTGGAAAAGAAATTGATGAAGATGATTCGTTAAATGAAGATGATGTTCAAGATTTCAATGAAATATATGTTATGTTGTATGTTTAAGGGCTATGAATTCAAATGATATTTTAGCATTAGATGAAAGTTCATGAGATGAACATTACGATTATGATTTTACTAATATTAATGCTAAAGGAAACGTTCTAATCGTGGTGATATTGAATATCGTCGGCCATATGGATGGAAACGTCTACAATTAAAGTTGATGAGGAATATGAAAATGATATATGGCTTGAATCTAATAATAGTCCTTATGAATGATCAGTATCATCTCATCCAACAAAACATACGATTTTTGCTTATGAACGAGGTGTTTACACAACACCTGATATCAATATAGCAAAACTTTATGCTTCTACTTTTACTCATAATTAAGAACAATATTATATTGTGCTTCAGAATCGAATTAATCCAAAGACTTTAATAAAAATAGATGATGATAAAACTGGATTCGGAGATCATTCAAGAATACCACACGCTGATGATATTAGACCCTACGGATATTGTATAATGAAGAAATCGTCATATATTATAAGGTATTTTTCATACTGTTTTCATATTTTTATGTTTTCAGTTGACATATATAATGATTTAAAAGACTTAAATAAAATATCTCAACTTGCAGATTTTAGATAATAATATAAATGATTGATGTATTAAAAATTTCATAAAATTAAATTTCAAAATGTTTCATATAAACATTTAAATGATCGATCTAATTATATTTAAAATAATGCAATTATGAATAATATTCACAATTATACAAGCAACTTGAATCAACAAATATTCTATCTATTATAGATTATTTTCGTTTGAAAAAATTTTCTATCATTTATTTAAAACCAAGATCTAACATAATATTGCTATTTTGTTGTGAGAAGAAGGGAAAATAACTCTTAAGCAAAAGAAATCAAAGAAAATAGTAAACTAGGAGAAGTTGATAAATCATTACTGTTTATTTGGTTAATTTAAGAATATTGTCGACGTGTTGTTTATTTTATGAGAATGTTAACAAAATTTCAATACTTAACATCACGGAAAAAGAAAATTGTGTTTGATGATCTTTACATAATATAGATTTATTTTCGTAACTAAAATACATGAAGACATCAAACCATAACTGTCCTTGTTTATTTTTATTCGATACTGTTTCAAAAAACTTGTTTTTACTCATTAGTTTTTCGATAATGTTTTCGCACTTAATAGAATTCATTGAGAAAGACATAGATAAAATGGATTGATCCAATCGATAATTTAGTCTTTTCTTTTCATTTTATTATTACGCATAACAAATGTCTTTTGCTTACATTTATATTCTTAATTTTGATGAATTATTAATTTAAATGAATTAAGACAATTATAAAACCATTTCTACTACATTTTTAGACTACCTTATACATGTCAAGGGTTTTTATATAAAAAATCTCAAAGAAAAATATTTATTCATAATTGTTTATGTGGAATAAAGGATTTGATTACAAAACTCATTCGTCCAATCTAGAGTATCCCTTTTCCTTTCTTTTTCTTGTAGAACGTTGTAATGGATATAACCCGATCATTTCACAGTTACTTTCAAAATATATTTTCTATTATTTCGAAGAATTAATTAACTTCTTTGATTTTTTATTATATGCATACATATAAAGAAGTCTCCGATAATTAAATCAATAGTATAAGTTTTCTTCTTACATTGTCTCTAGCGGTCGTCATGTATCAGTATTTGTACATTTTTGTTATTTTAGATCAAATTTAACGTTCAGTAAACTGAAAGTAACAAGAAATTATTTTTCTAATTACTGTTGTGTCTGTAATGAATCTTTCTGTAACATTTGATTTTGAAAATATAATTAAAACTGTTACTTAATATGTTGTTAAATAATAGAGAAACGGCAAAAGAGAGAAAGACTAGCTAAGAGTAGCAATTGTGTTTTCTTTCTATTCGAACACATCACAATATTTTACTTCTCTTTATGGAATTAGATTGACACAATGGTAGATTTAAACAAACGATCTTTTTGGCATTTTACATTAAAAGACATATTAACTATTATATCTTCAGTTGCTATACCCATAGCTCTTGCTATTTATACTACAATTGGGTCTCAACAACAAAAACGAGAAGCTGAGAAAAAACAAAAGTTTGATTTTGAACAATCAAGAGAATTAAGACAACAAACACTTTATGATGAATTTTTAAATAATATTTATAAATTAGATAAAGATGGTTATCTCAATGACACAAAAAATCCATGGGCATTTGCAAATGCATATTATCGTGCTGCTCATCGTCAATGGGATACAATACGGAAAGGAGATGTTATACAATTTCTTAAAGAAAAGCAATTAATTGGCAGAAATAATTGTAGTAATGGATGTAGAACGACAAAATTAGATGATATAATTCGTTTAAATGAGTTAAACTTTGATAAGGTACATCTAGCAAGTGAAACTGGTGTATTAAATAAGCTGAACTTACAATGTGTTTCTTTTGATCAAGTATCAATGTCAAATGCAATATTTTCATCAGTTAATTTAAATGGTGCATCATTTGATGGAGGACGATTGGATAAAGTTAGATTTGATGGTTCATCTTTACTTTGTGCTAGTTTTAATGGTGTAAATCTATCGGGAGTAGATTTTGGAAACTCAAATCTGACAGGTGCACACTTTTCAAATAGTGATTTGTCAGGAGCTAAAATAACGCAAGATCAAATAAATCAGGCATCTTTTGATAATGTAATTATGCCAAACGGAGAGAAGAGTGAAATTAAACCCTCAACGACAGCAAAACAACCTATAGCACAAACAGCAACAATAGTAAAAACTAAAATGTCAACAACAACATCATCATCCTCAACTACATCACTGACAACAACGGCATTAGCAACAACAACAATAACAATAACGTCATCAACGTCGACAACAGCAACAACAACAACATCATCAACAAAAGAAACATCATTAACAGCAGAAGCAACATTACTATTAACAGAAGCGACATCATCAACAGAAGAAACATCAATCGGTCAGTAATATGTCACACGAAGCATAGTACCTTTTTTAGTTGCCAATTGATCAATTGTTCTTCAGCTTGAGAAACTATACTCTTAAAAGTTCTCGTTTCTTATTTACTGAATATGTTAGATGGATGACAAGTAGTTTTTAGACAACATTTCTTTTTGGATATCATTTTGAAAGTTAGTCATGTCATATGTTTGTAGTATTACTAAAATAATTTCATTTACTTTTATCTTTATGAGATAGATTTGTTTAGAATGAAATACAGAGACTTTTTCGGAGAACTCAGCTTAAAGCTACTGCAACTGGCGATAGGTTCACGAAATATAAAATTTATTCACTTTTAATTTTATATGTAGATGTCGACCATTGTGTGTTAAATGTAACTTTTCTATAGATGCTTTAAGGACCAAAGGTATTAAAAGAACTACTATCTTCTGTAGAGAAGTAAAAGAGGACAAATTTTATTTCTCCTGGATCCCTCTTGTTCGGTTTAAGCTGCCTATGTAAACCTCAGAAAGAATAAGTCATTCTTATTTTATACTCGGAGGTATTTTATATCTGTTCGTTTTAGTGACGGGATTTTCAAGTACACTCGAATAGAGGTGTAAGCCGGTAGGGTCATCGGCGGCGGCGCTAAGTTTTAAAAATTTTTTTAAAATGTTCGGCGGCGCGGCTGTGACATTCTAAAGTAGCCAGCTGGCGGCGGCTCGAAAATTTGAAAATTTCGAATGCCATCGGCGGCGCGGCGGCTGTAGCGAAAATGCTTCGGCGGCGTGGCGGCTTGAAGTTTAAAAAAGTCTTATATTTTCAAACGAATATTTTTAGAAACTCTATTTAACATCTCAAATTAACGAAGTACATAACTAATATTAAGCTGAATACTAAATAAAAATATAGAAGTTCATCAGAAATGTACATGACTAAAAAAGATATGCAAAAAGATAAATAAAATCTTAAATGTCGGCTGGCGGCGGCTCAAAAGTTTTAAAATTTCGAATACCATCGGCGGCGCGGCGGCTGTAACTAAAGTGCCTCAGCGGCGCGGCGGCTTAATTTTTAAAAACTTATTCAGGCACGGCTGGCGGCGGCTTTAAATTTTTATAGTTCATCGGCGGCGACGGCGGCTTAGCCACACGGCTTACACCTCTACACTCGAATAAAGCGACCTATCATATGACTGGAAGATCTTCAATGGATTCCCTGGATATTACAAAAATAGAATAGAAGTATCTTTTTAGTAAGGTTCCATCGAAGTTTTAGTCTTTTCTAGAAGCTATGTTTAGTAAAGACATAATATAGTAATCGCTGCAAAGTGTTAGCTCATCTCCACATATGTATTCGTCAGAATATGTTTAGAATGTCACAAAATTAGTTTTGTATTGAAAAGACATTGAAAAGAATGATGTCACACAAAAAAACGAATGCAGAAGAGACAAATGTATTAACTGAATTCTAGGTTAATAACTGTGCTAATGTTGATATAGATTAAAATGTCGTTCATGATGATAAATAATATCGGAAAAACGATGTAAGTAGCGGGATTGTAGAAGATCACAATTGATCATACACATAGTGGAATAATTTTATTGGTGGATTAGTTCGCTTTGATTTGAGCTAAACTTTTGCAGATCAATTAGAATAAGACGATGAAATATTATTTTTTAATGATAAAAACTATAATCTAAATCTTTTTTTTCTTGTTTTTCAGCTTGTAATAGTATATTTCTTAACCAAACTATTTACTCAGTTGCTCAAGGTCCAGAACCAATAGTAGTAGCCGATGTGAACAACGACAATCAACCAGATATTGTTATTACAAATAGATATATAAACATCGTCAGTGTTCTTCTCAATACAGGCAACGGCATTTTTTCTCCTCCAACTGTTTACTCAGTTGATGCACAGCCAACGGGAGTAGCAGTAGCCGATGTGAACGACGACAATAAACCCGATATTGTCACTGCAAATTACGGTTCAAACACCATCAGTGTTCTTCTCAACAGAGGCAATGGTACTTTTTCTACTCAAGTTACTTATGCAGTTAGTGCACATCCAGTGGCAGTAGCAGTAGCTGATGTGAACAGCGACAACAAATCCGATATTGTCACTACAAATATGAATGACGAAACTGTCAGTATCCTCCTGAACACAGGCAATGGTACTTTTTCACCTCAAACTACTTACGCAGTTGATGGGAATTCAGCGTCAGTAGCGGTAGCTGATGTGAACAGCGACAGTAAACCCGATATTGTCACTGCAAGTTACATTTCAAACACCATCAGTGTTCTTCTCAACAGAGGCAATGGTACTTTTTCTACTCGAGTTACTTACGCAGTTAGTGCACATCCAGTGACAGTAGCAGTAGCTGATGTGAACAGCGACAAACAACCTGATATTGTTACTACAAATTCCCCTTCAAACACCGTCAGTGTTCTTCTCAACAGAAGCAACGGCACTTTTTCTCCTCAAGTTACTTACTCAGCTGGTGTTGCTCCATGGTCAGTAGCTGTAGCCGATGTGAACAGCGACAGTAAACCCGATATTGTCACTGCAAATAAACATTCAGGCACCGTCAGTTTGCTTCTCAACACAGGCAATGGCACTTTTTCGCCTCAAATTAGTTACTCAGTTGGCGTAAGTCCACAATCAGTAGCAATAGCCGATGTGAACGGTGACAACAAGCCCGATATTATCGCCACAAACTATGATGGAAACACCGTCAGTGTTCTCCTTCACTGTTAAAATTTATTTCTCTAACATACTCAGTATCCTTATTGACATATCGGTACTCTACCAACAACATTATTCTATGATTAGCCACTTAACAATATGGAGCAAATAACAATGTTCGTTCGATACCAACATTTTTTTATTATCAATGTTTCACGCACACTCATTAATGCTTATACTTTCAGCTTCTTGTATTGTTTTCTTTTGCTTAAATCAATGAAAATTAAGCTGATTCTATCTTTTGATCAAAATAATAGTATGAGTACATGAGTGCGGATGTGAGTGTAAAGAATCACATCAGTATCTACACTCAGTTATATTTACCCTCATGAGTTTCCACTACTATGGAATCTAATGAGAAGTACCAACTATTAACTATCAACTGATTAGTTTGCGAGTTTGATTTCATTTTACGATTGCTTTTCATTCTATATCATTTATCACTAATAAATATATTCTAATGAACATTTAAGTGTATACCTTCTTGATTCAGAAAATAGCCTTAAGAAAGATTCCTTAAGACATCTACACCCACATTCCATTTGTTATGAAGGATAAAAGAGAATCTTTCTCTAATAGACAACAATATTCTATAGCATCACTACCTCACAGCACACATTTATAAATGAATATTAGAAAAAATCGATCAAAGAATAATAATATGATCAGGTGCGATTAAAGGTGATTCTTTCATTCGTTTGTTATTACCTTATTTTTTTTTGACTATTTGAATAAACCTATGAATGACATCGTTATTTACAACTACTCAGAAGATTTTCGATAAAACTAAAGAGAAATATTTAAAAAGCTCATAGTCGAACAGTCTCCAGAAAATGTGTAATTGATCATCACATTTAAAATGTAGACTAATGATTGTCTACTGATGATGCTCTATATAATTTCCTTATTGTAGATACTAATAAAACGTTCTTTGATATACTAAACGGCAATGTTCGGAATGCAGTAATACAGTTGACAGTTGGTTTACTAAAACAGCGTTTGGCGAAGATGTGGGATAACTATAACATCCACACGCACGCCTCCTTGTGGGCAAAATTTCAGATCGAAATACCGTCATTTGATTTATTGATATATACCATGCCATAGGCTAAAATTTTAGTAAAAATACCTATAACTCTGGATAGAGGGTGTATGGGCAATTATCCTTTTGGAGTTTTTCATATCTCACTGAAGTCCAGCTTATGCACGGGATCCGAACTTAACAGCTTTTTTTTTGAAAGCACCATCATTATACTCACCAAATACCAAAAACTCTAAACAACTATCATCATCACAATACCGATTAAATTTGAAAACAAGCAGTTTTTATTTGATTTTTCTGTCAAAGTTATATAACAAAAAAAGATACTCGTATGACTATCATCAACGATTTATTCGCCATCTAAATACATTGAGTATAACCATTTACGAGTTTCTTCTTCCTTCATTCCGTCTCAATAATTCATTGATCACATGTACTGCATCATCCCCAATTTTGTTTTGGGAGAGATCTAGACTGCTGAGTGTCTGTATGTAAAAGTGTACGTAAATACATGACATAGAAAAAGAAACAATGAGTTACTGTATTGTGTTCTAATGCATCAGCCAAATATTGTGCTCCAATCGCTCCGATTTGATTATATGCAAGATGTAGCGTGGTTAATGTCTAGATAAAAACGTGGAGGTAAAGCCATGGAATAGATAAAGAGAGAATAGAAGTTACCCTGTTCTGTTGTACTGCATTGCCCAAAGATTGTACTCCAACATTTCCGATTTGATTGTCCGAGAGATCTAGATTGGTGAGTGTCTATATGAAAACGTGAAGGTAAAGACATACTATTGATAAAGAGAGAATAAGAGTTACTGTATTGTGTTCTAATGCAACACTCAAATATTGCGCCCCAACATCTCTGATTTGATTGCCGTAAAGGTTAAGTGTTGTGAGTGTCTAGACGAAAAAGTGAAGGTAAAGACATGGTATAAATAAAGAAAGGACGAGAGTTACTGTATTGTATTTTAATGCATTACCCAAATATTGTGCTCCGACTACTCCAATTTGATTCCACCAGAGGTATAGTGTTGTGATTGTCTATATGAAAAAGTGGTGGCGAAGAAATGCTATAGATAAAGAGAGAATAATAATTACTGTATTGTTCTGTAATGCATTACCCAAAGATTGTGCTTTAACATCTTTGATGCTATAAAATCCGAAATCCACTGTCATGAGTGCCTATATGAAAAAGTGGAGGTCGAGACACAATACGGATAAATAGAAAGAATAGTTGGTCGGCGTTATCTCGAGTTAGAGCAGTGAACTAAATGTTGTTTGCACCTCTATCTATGGCTTATGGATATTAATATGAGTATTTTAAGATTTTTATATGCTGCATAGTATGCGAGAATGTTTTGTGAAAATTTAGACTCAAAAGAAGTTACCATGAGTGAACTATGAATAGAAATGTTTTATTCCTGAGTTGCTGTAATTTCTGAATGTTTTTGAAAGAAGGAAAACGTTTTAGTCAGTCAAAAATAGCTCGTAGGTCATTCTTCCGGAAAACAATTGTAAAGTGTAAGTCATGTGTGCCCAATTAGCTATGTGTTGCAGTAGATGGTTTAGAGCGTATCGAAGTATGGCGCAGCGCTTGCTAGTAGTCTGTAGGTATGGCAGAAGATATTTTCTTATCAGTAGTTAGCGGACAGGTTTCTTTCATGTTCATTAGTCTGACTCGATATATGTTTTGTATCAGAATCATGTATAAGCTATCGAACTGTCTCTCATTGATGGGCATGATTGATATAAGTGAGAATATGTAGATTGATTTCGATAGTGGCTTTCCATGTCACCATAGAGTTGTATTCAAGAAGCAACATCGATTTGTTCTGTAATGTTAAACTTATTATGAGTAGAAGACGAATGCCTGTTGAAACTTCGTATAAAAAATATCGCTGACGAATTGTCCTCCAAATTTCGTCCTCGAGAAGGTACGCTTCAGATAAAATCCGTTTCGTAGCAATTAGTTTGGAAAATAATTTGGTTTAGAAGTAGTATTTCTAGAAGAAATATTCCACCTGGATAGAATGGATGTGATTGGATGAGAATGTAAATGTTGTTGTGGGTCAATCTTCTCTCCATCCACATCCACCATTACTTGTACCGATGGTCACGGATGTTCTTAAAGAAGTATTTCTCACGGAAATATTGAGAATGTTATTTATAACAAGGTGGACTAGTGTATCGAAGCTTAATTTCTTTCAAAAGTTGATTTTTTTTATCGAAATGATATCTGAACAAAAGGTACTTAGATACACGTAACAAAAGCTAATAATAATATTTTATACCTTTTTTTACGTTCTTATCTAAATATTGTCTATTTATGATATCATACCTGGTTTGAAACGTGGAATATTCAGATGAAATTGAAAATAAAGAAAAAAGGAATTTTTGGGAAGAAAGGGATAAATGATGAATTATTTTAAGTGAGAAATAGTTTATTCACGTATGTTGTATTAACGTCAATAGTTAAAAATTAAGCTATCATGATAGAAACATGTTTACCTGGTATCGATCATAACTATCTGTGATCGTGTTCAATCGTTGACATACGTTTCTCATTGTGCATATGATTGTGAAATTCGATTGAAGATCCAGAATACGATAGACAAGTTCTACCGGTAATGTAAGAAAGTTGGTGGAATGTTGATTTGCCATTGCAGAATGTTGGTGAAATATGTGCTGTGTAGACTTACATGTTGGTTATATATATTCTTCTCGATCTTATCAATAGATGAGCCGATATTTGTTTTGTTTCATAAATTTCACATGATGTTGTAATTACTTGCTAGAAGAAAAAAACGAAAAAAGAATGATATCAACTGGAAAATAACAAAGTCGAGATAACAACTGTAAGCAACGTTTTTGTTAATATTGCTTTAACGATATAAAATAGTACATTCTCGATTATAGTCATCAAAGGTTAAATGACTTTCATTGTCATTTGATCGTAAAATCAAACATACATATTTTATAACTTGGTGCAGAATTTGTTCTAGTGAAATAGAAGCAGATGAGTGAATCGAAGAAAAAAAAATAAGATCATTACTTTCATGGTTGACGAGTTTTACTATAATTTGATCTGTTGTTTGACAGATTTGTGCGGAATATTTTGGTCCATACATTGAATTATTTTTATACACGACTGTTTCTTGAAATTATCCTTGTAGAATATAGAAATTTGAAAAAAATATGCATTTCGTGTTATTAGGAACAGCAACATTGTTCATCATCATTATGATCGTAAATACAAATATAATCTACAAGAAAAACTATTTTTTCAAATAATTCCTTTCAGAATATGTAGTCAGCATAGAGCTTGAGTGAGAGTCATACAGTTTAGCTGTTTCTAATTATCTGACTTATAGTATGAATATTGATTATCTGTAACAAAATCCTATTCGATTTGGTTCCCGTTATACTAAACAAGACTAGTTTTAAAAATCGAATGGAATCAATCCAACTGGTGCCCAGCTAGCTAACAAGAGTTTTGGTCAAACTACTTGACTCTCTTTTAGAAATATTAAGAAAATAGAAAATGTAAAAGATCATATTGTAATTGTTCGTATAAATAATTTTGGATTCCACACTGTTCTGTCTATGAAAAGAAATGGTATGCTTTTGTATGCATCTCCTTAAATTGAAAATTATTAACATTTGAGTAGAATAAAAAACGGACAACTCGAGTACTAAAAGCAGTAACAGTGAAATTTTTTTATAGTTTGAGAAGCTTACGAAGTCTTTCTGTTTATGTGCAATAATAGTAAAAACAATTCTCTATTATTCTGCAGTATTTTATTACTCTTGAGCTAATAAAATAGTAGAAGTGGATGTGAAATGAGTAGAGTACCTACACCCTCACTCTCACCTATTTCTACCCCCACATTTACATCCACATGCACACCCATCAACACCCTTCGTTAAGAATCAAGAATAAGAAGAAATTTCATTGTTTACTTTTTTAGTGTGTAATTTAGTTCAATCTGTCAAGAAAAAATAGATATGTTATTCATCTTTACATATAATTTTTTATGTAAAAATATAAAATATAAATGACTTTAATTACTCTTTATTCTATTTCTAGGAACAGAAGATCAATTTTATTAATTATAATAAATATATTAGTAATTACTTTTGAATGTCATTGTTATAATGTTAAATCAAATAAAAGTTGAAATAATATATTCGATGAGTTTATCTTAATCATTTAGATCATAAAAGAAAACAATTAATCATATGAACTTTACTAACTGTATAAACTTTATTGGAATCTGAATAATCATTGAAACTACAATTCAGTCAGTCAATTCAATACTCCCCGTCATGGTTGCGATTTAAACAGCAAAGTTTAGTGTTTTTGTATTAATTTAGATCATCTAGAACAAGGCTAGTTTTATCTCGATTTCGTTTAATTCTTCAGGGTAATACTATTTGAACTTATCTCCATTTAATATAAAATAAACAAGATTACTTAATTTTTTGTTTACTCCTTCACTAATCAGCAGCCCATTAGCTTTTCAAAACAAAATCTTGCAACTATTCATCAAATGAATAAATTATAACAAAATAAAAATGCATACCATTCATTAATTCAATCGATTTAGATGATCGTCTATAAATGAAGTAAAATAAATAGAAATACTTAGTAACCTTCATGATTTACGACAGCAACCTGAAAAAAGCATATTAATGCAAAATAGATAAGAATAGAATGTTATTTATTAGATTATTCTCTATCGTATACTCGTATATCTCCGTTTTTTCTCATCAACGATCGTAGACTATTATTCATATTCGATCTCATAATATAGAAGTAGAGAATCACATTGAATCATTTCCGTTAAATATAAATATCTAGAATGTTTTTTGTTGTAAAGATCAGTTGCTTTGCGCATACATTCAATTTAGCCGATCTATTTTGGTATCTTATAGTGTCCTCTCCCAAACACCTAAGTGTGATGATCGTTAAAAAAAATGAGAAATCATTGTAAAATATTTCTTCAAACGATTTCTCTCTTATTCTGAATCCGAGATCAGAGGACTATAACTCATCATATCTTCGAATATGGCTAAATTGATCGATACATCATAGATAAGCGATTATTCTTTTCATTTAGTTCTAGTTAATAATAAATACTCATTGGTTGAGTCAATTAGACCAAATGTTGATGACATCTCGGTATATATATTGCAGTTTTTCTACTTTTTATTCATCGTACGAGGCCTCGTTCACTACTATTACAATGCAATTCCATATAAGCTATTTTTGCTTTTATTACAGGGAACACTCTCGTAAAGAATTAGAAATGTAAATATGTCTGAGAACGTCATTTATACACATACGTATGTAGGTGTATTACCTTATCAGTCGGCTTTGTCCACTACGTTTTTATTATTTACAGAGTTGTTCTCTTTACGCGAGCGTGAATCACTAAAAAATAGAATTAATTCAAAATAAGTGGACAAAAGATTCTTTTATTAATTGATTACTTATTCTTTATAAATTCTTTTTTACAATTTCAATACTGTTTTTCACACTTTTTATATTAGGATGAGTTGGAGGTAATGCACGTCGTAATATGTCTAGAGCACGTTCAAAATATGAGAGTGCTTTCGAATAGTCTTTCATATTGTAATACACGGAAGCGATGTTGTTGTACGAATTAGCTAAATCAGGATGATTTGAAGGAAGAGTTTTTTGTTCAATTTCGAGTGCTTTTTCATGATATGAAAGTGCTTTCGAGTTCTCTCCCATGTTATCATACACACTACCGATGTTGTTGTATGAAGTAGCCAAATCAGGATGATTTGCAGGAAGAGTTTTTTCTCGAATTTCAAGTGCTTTTTCGTGAGATGAAAGTGCTTTTGAGTATTCTCCCATGTTGCCATACACCAAACCAATGTTATCGTATGAAGTAGCCAAATCAGGATGATTTGAAGGAAGAGTTTTTTGTTGAATTTCAAGTCCTTGTTCGTAATACCAAATAGCCTTTTCATAATCAGCCTGGTGATTTTTGACATATCCCAGACAAACATAATAATGAGCTTTTTCTCCATCATCAGATGTCTGTTCGAGTAATACATTATAAAGTTCTTCAGCTTTATTAAATTGACCGATGTTAAGCAATAGTTTACCCAATCTTTGCCATCCAGTACTACCACCAGCTTCTTCTCGTATCCGATCAGTAAGTAATCGAAGTTGTTGATCATCATCCGATGTTAAATCTAATTCAACTTGATACAGTTGATTCTCATTGTCTATTTGTTTAATTGCATTCACTCGAAAGACTGTGTGCATTGAGAAGAGAATTTCTTCTTCTTCCTTAAAATAACTCTTCTCTTTGATAGAGGCAAATGGTGCTGATTTCAAGCAAGGATCAATGGACATTATAAAGAGAATTCCCATCTTATTTGGTTCTGTTGTAGCACCTTGAGCAAAACGGAGGGACACTTTTTCATCTTTACTGGTGGACAAGAAATTGTTAAAGGACATAAGTCCACCTTCTGCTTTCTGAAGTTTTTCAAAGTCTGATTTCATAAGACCTTGTCCTCGATAAACTAAAAAAGGTTTTCTTCCATAACTAATGGCCTGGTGTTCATGCAGCTGTTGAATTTGTTGATGTATATCACGTAAGAAGAAGCCCATGTTAATGATTATATCGGCATCCATAGTTCGAAGTGCTTGATTGAGCATTTTGTAGGTAAAACACTCACATGTATACCACCATATTGCTTTTTCTGGATCATAGTCACGTTCAAATTCGTCAATCACTTGCAATTCAATTGAGTTGTCAGCAAAAACTTCGCGGCAACATGTTGCTAAGTCCTGAATTGCCTTGGGATCATATTCAATATCAAGGAGAATCTCCTTGAATAGTTGAGTATACATGAAAGTTGGCTCCAACTGATTCAAATTCTCAGTTGAAGACATTTCATTTACCGTAAGAAAACTTACGGCAATTGTGTCCTGGTCACATTGTTTAACCACCAATTGCAATGCTTGACAAATTTCTTTGATATTTGTATGGACACCTTTGATTTTTTTCCAATTTTGAGTCCATCCCTCATGCCTGGATTTGTTGCCACAAAAGATGTAAATGGCATCTAGCTGTGGCACATCATGAATTTCAGGAACTAAATGTTGACCCAAATAGCCCGACATTATCACAAAAGCTCGTTCCTTGCCCATCTGGTTGAGTGTTTGGATGCACTGATTCGGTTCCGTACATAGATTGGCATTGTTGATCACGTTCTTCAATTGAGCCAGTGCATTTTGGCAGTCCTTGTCTGCTTGGTCGATGCTGGCATCTACCCAGATGAGAAGGTAATTTTGTGCCATACGTTGTTGTGGTTGCCGAATATTTGATGATGCAGCAGCATTTTGATTTGATTTTGATTCGTTCATTCTGATCTTGTGGTAATTTGTTGTTGGAGGTGAACTTGTCAGTAGATATTGTTGTTTGAATGAAAAGAAAGATCACCATTCTTATTTATATAGGCAGTGACTTGCTTTTTCTCGATTTTTCGGCGATTTAGAATGTTTGCGTGTTTTTGTTGTTGCTCAAGGACAAACTCCATCTAGTTACGTTTGAGAATAATGTTGTGCAAAGCAAAAAACTGATCAAAACAAACAAATTTGTTGGTAATATTATTGAAAGAACGAGCAAAACAGAGGCCAACAATCTAATCCATTTTGTTATTATTCTTTCCAACTGATTCTTGCTTCTGGCTACATCATTATTGCAGTTTGCTGATGTGTTGGCGACATTCTTTTCACCGAATATAGGCAGAAAGAGAAATACAATTCTTTCGGCGAATTATTTTTTCTTTCACACTCTTTTGTCAGACATCATATTAATGATTGAAAAAAACACTGTAGACTTAATATAGATGAAAGTAAGATCAAAGAAACTTCTCTAACCTATCTAATTTATTTTAGATAATGAATTCCATTATGACAATGGAATATTGCAAGAAATTTTTGTTTCTGTTGGAAAAAGGAAAGTGTTCAATTGAAAATAGTTTTTAAAAAGCACAAAAATATTAAGAAATTTTTTCATAATTTGAATATAAAAAAATATTGTTGAACAAAAAAGAAATAATTTTGTATTCATTAAGGTGCAAATGGCTATTTCAACTGTTGATAGCAATTGATAAAATTAACTTTCTCAAAAAATGAGATGCTCAGGAACTCTATATATTTTAAATATGATGAAAGTTTGTTTTCGCATTAAAATAAATAATTTGCGAAATGATATCTTTATCAAATTATGTGCTGTTTATTATTTTTTAATACACTAGAACAACTATTTCAAGACAACATGGATGGCGTTGTTGTAATAAATAGTGTATGTATATGGTGGTAGAAATCATCGAAAATTTCAGAAAAACCATATTAAAAACAAAATTTATGCAGTATCCGTTCGTATATAATAAATATTGATTTTAGTCGATAAAAAAGAAGAAGTTAAATAAAAATATGACAAAAGCGAACATCAGTATGCATGTATGCACCACTAGACTTCTGTTCATTACAGGTCATATTGCATGAAAATCTATGGAGAAAAATATTATCAATAGTAACGATATAAGACGCAAATAATTTCTTTTCGTTTGAATGTAAAGATAAAATGTTACTATTAAGAATAGTGATCTATAGGTAGTTGTTTAAAATGCAAATATAAGGAGAAAGAAAAATTGATAAAAAAAAGTACATTGACAACGAAACAAACAAACGTTAATGGAATTTTATTATTCTTTCCATTCTGTTTTCGTCCTTGTATGTGTTTTCGTTTTTCAGAATAAAGAGAGTATAAATAAGCGAATTCAAAAAGAAAAGCACAGTTGCATATTCTTTTTTCTTTCTCATTCGTCTTTCACTATAGTTTCATTGAATAGATGAGTTAATGTATGAAAAGCATGGTGAAGAATACTTTGATGGCTTAAAAACCATCTTGAGGGTGGGGGCGGGTACTCTACTCATTCCACACTCACGGTTATACACACATCCACATCCACCCCACCCCACACCATACCCCTACCCTCAAGACATATTTTGCATTCTTTATAAACTATTAAACAATGAATCATTAGTGTTCTTTCAACATATGTTAGTATAAATTATCGAATTAGTACCTCCTGTAACTTGACGATATATAAATTCATCAAATCCTAAGACAGTCGTGAATATTGAGAAACGTCTGGAAATCTTGAAATCATCATTTCGATATGGAGCTTCGCGTTGTGTTTCGTAGCCGAATGAAACTCGAGTACTATTTTGAGGGTGTTGGTGTGGGTGTGGAATGAGTAGAATAACCACATCCACATCCTCACTGCCAAGTCAAACGATGTCTCGGTTTCTTTTTTCGGTGTGCACTTTAATATTTGTTCTTGCTTTTAGTACTCTTACTTTTTGATATTTGTCATGTTTTCGATACTATCACCTCTTGATATTTGTCATGTTTTCGATACTATCACCTCTTGATATTTTGTCATGTTTTCGATGCTATCAAATTTGATATTTGTCATGTTTTCGATACCATCACCCTTTGATATTTGTCATGCCTTCAGGACTATTATCGTTTGACGTCTTTCCTTTCTGTGTGATGCTACTGAATGTTTGGAGTGCTATATAAGGCACGAGGAATATTCAGTTTGGGGAGGGGGCGATTTCTTTCAAAGAATAAAGTGTACATATACGAAATTTTATACCGCTCTACCCTGGGCCTGAAATCGTCACACTCACACTCACCTTCACCGACTCCCCTTCCCTCCCACCCGATCCACATCCAAAGCCATACTCTAAGAGAAAGTAATAGCATTTAAAGTTGATCGAATCTTACAATCTAACTTTCTATTAAATGATTATTTTGACAAAATGATCGGCTAAAATATTGAGAGGTTCCATTGTAAATCTAAAAGATAAAAACAATCTAAGAAGCAGAAGAGATGGCAACACCGCAAATTGAGACGTCATTTTATTGACGTTGACGACGATATTTTCTCTCCTACAATTCAGTCAAATTTTGATAGTGCGCAGTTTTTGCTGTTCTTTTCTTCAATTCCTCGATTATGCCCTCTCATTTATTTCAGCCCCGCATACCAAGTGATGCAAGCAAAAGGAATAAAATCTTTTTATTTTGTCTCATAGATAAATATACTATATTCTAACAAAAAACAAGCGAGACGGTCTAGAAAAGACGTTCTATATTGCACCGGAACATTAGCAACAGCGGAAGAAAACATTCAACTGCGTACTTACATTCACTGAATTCTTCAAGAAAAATTTACACGTTAGGGCGCTGCAGAAATGGGATCTGACCAGAGTGACCTTGCTTCATCGGACAATGATAACAGAAGTGACCTGCACTACCTTGCTTCGCCGGACAACAATAACAAATGTAACCAATGTAATCCGAATCATCCTCTGTACGAAGGGCATACACCAGGTTATAATGGCCGGGGAGACAAGGCCGACCTTGATAACCACGCAAATCAACTGAATCCTAACAACGAGCGATACAACCGTGGCTCCAAGGAATAAATATGCGGATCATCACACACAAGTAAACTATTCGACTTGTATCGAAAAAAATATATTTTCGTTGTTTGTCGAACTTTAAAAACTATCAATCATGTAATCATAAACCATTGCGCTGACGACTTCAATAAATGTTTGTCATTGCTTTCAAATTAGTATTTCTATCTAAGAAGAGTGACTACTTCAAAGCAATATATGGCATGTTTTTTCTTTGGTAGAGTTAGGACTAATAAAGTTTTAACATCTTTCTGACAGCTGTCGACTAAGTGAACTATTTTCAGAATGAGTGGGTGACTATATTGAGAGTAAGGGTGAGGGCAACGGTGGAATACCTCAAGCTGGTACCCTTTATTCTGACGGTGCTTAGCCAGTGACCGACTCTTAACTATTCTCCGGATAGTGTGTTAATTTAGTCTATCGAGAAGGTGTGTATGGGTAAGTGTGGGTGAGGAAGAGAGAAGATAAAACAACCTTCATCCTCACCCACATCCATACCCTTTCTGAATGATTTCTTAGCTTTATTGTGATAACAAAAAACAAACCAAAAGAGAAGCAATATGATTCTTCTGATTTCTTTACATTTTTTGTGTATCTCGTGAAATAATCTTGCGAGTATGGATGTGAAGTGTATAAGGCATTCTCCAAATCTACAGCCACATCCGTCGAAATCACATGGAATTTTAGACGGAATTTGCATGTGATTTTGGCGATGAGGTATGCAATCCTTCAAGTAGGATAAGAAAAGAAAGAAAATAATTGAATATGGTGTTTACTATGTTTTTTCTTTCTTATTTCTTTTAATACCGCTGTACGATCTTTCATTAATTATAGTAGAAGTTTCGATGATTTCAATTAACTGAAAGAATTTCAATATTTATCAACGTTTCACATAAGTCATCAATCAATAAAAGAATGACATCATATTGTACAGAGCGATTTTTTTTATTCAGCGAAGATAATCAGCATCAGCAATAGTTCCTCTGATAGATCGATAACACTAGGCCATCAAGCTTTTTAATTTTCAAAGAAATTTGGAAATTACCAAGGTAAAATTCTTCTATGTTGACTCAGTTTTAATGGATTGATGACAACATTTTTTTAATAATGATTTATATATTTGAAAAGTGAAATAAAAACAATAATAATATTTTTTTCGAAAAAGCAAGAAATCAGGCTTCCTATAAATATAGAGCTCTAACGACAACAAGTAACTCTCATCCTTCGGATTCGGTGAAGCTTTTCTGAAAGAAATAACGCTCGTCGAAGGAACTCAATTGATTCTCGATTGATTTTAAGCTGATCATCATCAGATACTACTTATTATATTGTACTTGTCACTATATCATAATTTATATATTCACAAAGAGAAAATAGATTTATACAATTATCTCCATCTTTTTTGGAGAAGATGCGATTTTTACGGTCGTCTTCAAAGCTTTTATAAGTTTCAGACTCATCTAACAGTAGTTCATTGGTATCCCTGCGGTCCACCACTACCGACTGCTTCCTATTGTATATAAAAAACGATAAATCAATGTGATGCCTGTTCTTCTTTTTTATCGATTTCTTTTAATCCATCAGATATTCTTGCCGCAGTGACACTTTAATATGCGGATATTGGATACGATACTTTCTTTAGTGAGCTCAACAATGTAATATATAACAGAGATGGACGCAATTCAGGTTCTTTAAAGTTTCAGCTAGACTTAAACTGAGAGAAGTTTAATAAATGTTAAGTCGAGCTGAATCAAAAAAAAGAAGTTTGAAAACATTTATCGGAAATAATGAAAATTATTAAAAGTTTAGCACAGATTGTTAATTTTCTTTCGATCGACTGCCGTCTGAGTTTTTTTTCCTTATGATGAAAGACTTTCTGTGTTATATATTACTTCTTAATATGAGTGTTTTCGATAGAACGAATTCTGGAACACGTTAAAAGACTGTTGCTTAATTTATTTTATTAATTAAGAAACGATACTATTTTTAATATATATGATTGGAAGGATGGCTAAACTCGAAATCTTTACCTTAAAACCAATAAAGACATACTCTCAGATGTTTTTTTGCATCCTGTGAATCATATGAAGGCTTCTCATATCAACTAAACTGCCAAATCTCTCCACAAATCTTTTTCACTTTTTGAATAAATGAAATAGCAATGTGAACCGTGGGTTCAAGATATATCTACCGTCTTAGACATTACATTCTTCAGTACAACTTACTCCACCATTGACTGAAATCCTCCTATTCAGTTATGTTATTCTTGAAAAAACACCTTTACAATCTATTAACCCAATATTTATAAATCGATTGTCCTTCATATGGGGAACTTAGACATGAAATGAATTCAAACACATTTCATCTAGATTATTTCCCGTTGGATTCCAAACATCACTAGCATTTTCAACAACTCATTTTGTCTTGGATAGATTATCTGAGATGATTTTCAAAATATTTTATTCGTTTAATGACATTGACTGTGGCTATAGAAATGAGTTTGTATATATTATCCAACTTCAAAGAATGTATTTACTTACCAGTTCAATTCTTGTATAAAAATTACTGGAAAAGTTAAATTTAGAATATACGCAAGTTCATTTTGAAAATCTTTTTGTCAAATGCATGTTAAAAATGTTGTATACATCGAGAAAAACTAATTCCTATAGCTAAATGAAAAGAAAATTGCTTTTCAATTTTTTATAACTGAGAACACCATCTTAAACGATTCAATTCAGTTGTTCGGCAACTATTCTTTCGATTTAGGTTTTACCTGAATGTACTTTCGACAAAAGTAAGCAGCAGCTGGTCATTCGTCGGCGCCTCTCCGGATTGCCACTTAAGGTGTGGGTACTCTACTCATTCTACATCCACAACGCCAAAACATATTTTGCATTCTTTACCAACTATTAAACAATGAATCATCAGTGTTCTTTCAACATATGTTAGTAAAAATTAGCGAATTAGTATCACCCGTTTCTTGAAAATATATAAATTTCACTCAATCCTAAGACAGTCGTGAATAACGAGAAATATCTGAAAATCTTGAAATCATTATTGCGTAGCCGAATGAAACTCGAGTACCACCATCTAGTTGTATTGATAATACATTAAGAATCAGTTATAAAAATAGTTACTATCTGCTAATAAGCTCGGTATGATAAAGATAAAATTATACTATAGAATATCATAGATAATAATACAAACAGGACGGCAATTTTGTAAAAATAACAAATGAGAAAAAAATATACAGATATTTACAACAATATACTTATTTCTAATGAAAGTTCATATGTGTATTTATTTTATTATCAATTCTATTTTTATTATTAATTAGAAAAAAAAGTTTTTGATATAAAATTTCAATTTAAGACCATCGAGTTGGTTTTCCTTGTAAATGTATTGTATGTATATGTTGTTTACCAATAAGAATTTTATAGAAACCTGGTTCTAACCATTTCGATCCATCATGAGCCACAGTTAATAATGATTGCATATTGAATGGAAAAAATACTTCAGTTGATTCATGAACATTTAAATGTACACGTTCAAATCCAAATAATTTTTTTAATGGTGGTGTTTGATCATTGAAAGTTTTTTGTGGTGGTATAACATATGCAAGAACTACATCATCACCTGCTACCATACCTGTATTTGTTATATTAACACGATAGGGATGACCTACTACATTCTTTTCATTATAATTATTTTTCATTAATGATTGAATTGAAAATTTTGATACTAAAGAATCATTAGACCATGAATAATCAAATGTTGTATAAGAAAGACCATCACCAAATTCAAAAATTGCTTTTCCTGTATAAAATTTATATGTTCGGCCAGGATTTGTTGATGATGGTCGCATTTGCATATCAAACATACTAACAGCATTAACATATGATTCAGGATAAATTGTAATTGGTAAACGTCCACCAGGATTATATACACCAAACATAACATTAGCTAAAGCAAGACCACCTGATTGACCAGCATAACCCATCCAAATAAGACTTGCACATTCATTTGAATCACTTACATACGATAAATCAAGACTACTTCCCGACATAATAACAACATGAAGTGGTGTACGAACAACTTTTTCGAGTTGTTCAATCAATCTAAGTTGAACATCAGGTAATGCAATAGATGTTCGATCATGACCTTCAGATTCTACAGATTGATCAATACCACCCAAGAATATAACAATATCAGATGATTTAGCTAATTCAATAGCTGCTGCAAAACCACTTTCATCATTATCTGTAATTTTACAACCCATAGCATATGAAATATTGATTGAATGACCTTAATATAAAAGAAGAAGATGAAATGATAACGAAATAAATTGATTAAAATTTTACTTTGTGTTATTAATTCAAATCCTAAAAGAGGACTAATTAAAAATGGTGCGTTTCCAAAATAATTTCCTTGCATTAATCCAGTTGCATTAGCTGTTGGTCCAATTAATGCAATTTTTTTATTTTGTAAACCATTTATATCGAATGGTAATGCTTTGTTTGTATTTTTCAATAGAACAATACTTTGTTGTGCAGCTTCTAATGATAATTGTCTAGCTTCTTCTGTATCAACATCAGTTTTAGATAATTTTCTATATGGTTGTTGTTCAGGTGGATCAAAATAACCAAGACGAACAAGAACATTAAATGTTCGTTGAAGTGCTTGATCAATATCAGCTTCAACAATTGTCTTTTTATCTAATGCTGTTTGAGTATTTTTTGAATAAAAATCACCGCAATTAAGATCTGTACCAGCATGTAATGCCACAGCAACTGTATCTTCTACTGTTGATGTATAATGATGTGCATTCATAATTGTTGAAACAGCTCCACAATCACTAACAACAAAACCATCAAGATGATATGATTCACTAAAATAAATAAAATTATTTTTAAAAGAAAAAAAAATAGTATTACCGTGCAATAGTTTCCAATATGAATTTATTAGCACATGATGGAACACCATTAACAGCATTATAACTACACATAATACTTGCTACTTTTGCATCACGTATACAAGTTTCAAATGGTGGCATATATGTTTCAATAAGATCTTGATCACTAACACGAGCATCAAAATGATAACGATCTGTACCATTCCAATCTTCTAAATCATAAGCAGCATAATGTTTACAATCTGCAGCTATTTTTAAATATCGTTCATCATCACCACGTTGTAAACCATTAATTAATGTATAAACATATTGTGATGTTAAAAATGGATCTTCACCTGGTGTTTCTTGACCACGACCCCAACGTGGATCACGAAATATATTTATATTTGGTGTAAAAAATACTAAACCAGCACGACCTTCATTATTAAATGCACGTGCTTCATTTGATATAATACTAGCAATACGATGAACAAGACTTAAATTAAATGTTGCACCAAGATTGATAGGCATTGGAAAACTACTAGCTGCTGGTAAATCACCACCAAATGCAACACCAGGTGAATAAGCTACACCATGTAAAGCTTCAGACCACCATTCAAATTTTGGTAAACCTAAACGTGGTATAGCAGCAGCAGTTGTTACTAATTGTGTAATTTTTTCAGCTGTTGTCATACGACTAACGACATCAGCAGCTCGTACACGAGATGGAAGAGATTGATCACATATAGGAAATGTTGAAAGTGGACCTGATTTACAATCAGGAAAACTTCCTGTTTGTGTATTGATAGTAATAATATAAGTAAAAAGTAATATTAAACGAACATACATCATGTTTGTTGCCTCTTTTTTTCTTCTTCTTATGAATGTTCTAATAAAATAACAATATTTGTTTTATATTGTGTTATTTAGATAGAGATAAATAAAAATAGAAACACTAAAGATTTTTTTTCTTTCTAAGATAATACATGAGATAACTTGTTCATTGATAGTAAGCGAAATGAGTCGAGGTAGTTGTTAAGACAATATTTGTTTAGCAACATATATTTTAAATAAAAAATAACGCTTGAAATAGAATGTAGTGGTTAATAATCATTATCCTAACATTTTCAGTATTATTAATATTTGTTGTGTATCAGAAAAGATAGTTTATCTATGTCATTGTTTTTATCAGACGTTTTTTATTCTTGTGTAAACCACAATCTCAACGATGTCTTTTATATTAAAAGTACAGCTATTTTATTATATATAAATAAAGAAATATACATACCTTTCTTTTTTACTTTTATTTTTACATGTGACACGTTATTTTTAACTCATATTTACCTATCATTTTTTGTCGTTTCTTTTTTTTCTGCTCGTCGAAAACTAAGTATAGACAATCACATGCTTGTTTATTGATAATAGAAAAATAAAAAATGAAAATTAAAGGAGATATTTTATGAACATCTATACCAACACTATTATGCATAACAATCGAACACGATCATTTTATTTACGATTTATTTTCTCAATAGTACAGATTATCTTCACTATTACCATATATTCATAAATGATAACTGTACTCGTTTAGCAAATACAAATTTTTATTTAAATATATTTTAGTAATAATCCAAAAATCTTAAAATGAATCATCCTATCATTATAAAAAGAATAACATATCAATGTAATACTTTTACATTTTTGCTCTTTCTTATTTATTTTATAACATGGTAATATACCCTTTGAAATAGTCAATCATACATTGGAATATGATAAAGGTTATTTGATTCTATAAAAACATAGTTTCATCAATATTCTTCTTCTTCTTTTTATCATGTCGGAACTCAAAACAATTAAAACTGACGAAGAAATATCTCCAGTAAAAATAAAAAAAAATAAAGGATGTTTAAAACATTCATTATATGAATGGCTTACTCTACTCTCATCACTTTTTGTTCCACTTGTTGTTGGAATTTTAACAGTTGTTCTTCCATTACAACAACAAAATATTAGTGATCATCAAAATGAAAATTCGAAAGCAATTGCTTTAAATAATCGTTTACAAGATCTAAAATTATTACAAGATCAACAAAAACAAGTTATATTAAATACATTTGAACATGATTTATGTAATCTTCTTCTTAAATATAAGACAGTTAAAATTTACAATGATACTTCTTCTTCTTCGTCTCCTCGAGATGATGATGATGATGATGATAATGAAATTAAAGAAGATGATAATGATGATGAACGTATATCATTTATTATTCGTACAAAAACATTACATGCATTAAGACAACTTGATCCAGCACGAAAGATTTTACTTATACAATTATTAATTGATAGTGGTATTCAAAAACGTATTAGTATATCTCGTGCAGATTTATCATCATTAATATTTCCTCCAGGCTCATTTTATAATCAATTTCGATTTGTAAATGTTGTTGCTCGAGATATAAAATTAAAAAATGTTTATTTATATCAAAGCAATTTTTCATATTCAATTTTAGATGATTCATCATTTTATGAGTCAAATTGTTCATATGCAGATTTTAGTCATGCATCATTACAACGAACTGACTGGACAAATACTGATGTTACTCAAGCAATATTTAATTTTTCGAATTTATTAGGAGCTAAAATTACATCTCAACAATTAGCTACAGTACATAGTTTACAAGGAGCAATATTACCTAATGGTTCAACTGCTATTATATGATTATTTTTATTTTATTCGATAAATGCCATCGTAATTGAAGAGATATAAAACCAAAATATTTTTTCTCTCCTGTATTAATGTTATGAAAGATATAATAAAAAAAAACTATTCTTTCTTTGTTCTTCTAATTGAATATATTTCATATATGTAACTAGTTTCGAACACTATTAATAATATATATTTAGGTACAAAAAGTCAAAAATAAACGAACGAGAAGTTTTTCATCGTTTGCAATAAAACATATAGAAATTGAATAGGGCACATTTACATCTTTTTTTCATATTGCTCTCTCTCTATAATGGCAAGACATGAGGACTCTATTGAATCTGGTCTTATCTAGTTTTTGTATTCATGTATAAACTGTAACATAGTATCATAAATAGATTCAAATTATGTGTATAAACTTATATACAACAGTTACTATAATCTTAAAAATATTGTGTATAATAAATCTTGTTTTATTCTATTAAGATTAAGTATTGAATAGGGCTATCATTTAAGTAGCTAGTAAATAAAGATGTGGTGTGTTTAGAGCCAAACGAAGCGACTAGTAGTCCATAGAAGGAAAAATGATTAAAATAATATAGTTAAGTATATGTTATGAGTAATGTCTTCTTTTATAGAAACAATTTCTATAGTTATAATATAATTCATTTGACAAGATAGTGAAGCTACATTAATGTACATGAGATAAATATTTATTTACAATGACTTTTATTTGAAAAATATCACAAATGAGATAATATTCGACGTCATCAACAAAATCAATGGAAAACAATAGAATACATGTGTTTATTCCTGTTGTTGTCAGTGCTTACGTTGACTATATATGAAATAAGTAGACGCAATTGTTTCTCATCGATGAAATGCGTTTACTGAGCGTACAGATGAAGTCATTAGTTAATATCAACACTTTTTTTTCTGTCTTTCATGATATTTGAAGAATACTTCCAAAAGACAATTTAATTAAAAACAGAGTAATTCGCAGCAGAATATAACTATTTTGTTTCTTTTGTTAATATCTTGATGGTAACGAATTCAGTCTTTTAAATAGTTAAAGAAACAACAATAACATAGTGTAGTTATGGATGTATCAGTCTTGTTGGAAAAAAAACTTGTTGCAAAAACGTATGGCGCTTTTTTCCGGGAACGAATAATTATTAAATGAGAGAGAAAGAGTATTGTAGAAAACAGAAGAAAACAACTAGTCATACAAGTTAGTCAAACAGTTATAAAATATTTTAGAAACTAAAGAAGTACAACATGTTTTGGATATTATTTATTTTATCATTATTTTGTGTTTGTAATTCTATTCTTATTACTAAAATACAAAATATTATAATAGTTGGTAATATGTATAATAATTTACTCAATGTGACAGAAGATCAATGCATATGTGAAATGATCAAAGTAAATGATTCAATATCTGCTTTGAATTATTTTTCAACAAATCAAACTTGTCAATTATATCGTTCAAATACTAGTACAATTTATGTTGAATTTTATCTAAATTCTACTATTATATTTCTTAATCAATCATCAATATCAATATTAAATATTCTAGAATATCGTAAGTTTTCATTTCGCAATACGACAAAAATATGATAGCTATTTATATACACATATTCTAATGATTTGAATGAATTTGACGTTTGTGTTTTTTAAACTCCAAAAAAATTTGCTAATATATCAATGATATTTTCTACTGAGTGTAATTTGTAGTATTCGCTAGTCATTAGTATCTGTCTTCGGATTGTATTGCACTACAATAATCTCTTTTTTTCGAAACAGAGCCGAGTACAATATCATCATCAACACCAACAGCAATATCATCAACAACATCATCATCAACATCAACTTCAACAACAAGTGGTGAGTGTGGAGTTAAACACTTAATACTTACGTGAGATGTTGAAAAGAGAATTAGTTTCACGAGATTTAAAAATGTAGTGCTTGGTACTTCTAATCATATCAAATCCGAATAAACAAGACGAGTTTATTGAACAAAAAACTTCTGAAGATGAAAAAACTGATCTTTCTACACAGGCAAGCTAGTATCTATATACGAAGCTGAAGGTACTCGTTGACGTTTTATGACTTCTCGTGATTCTCTAGACTCGACTGTTTTATCCTTCTCTAAACATTAACTAAATTAAAAAGTCGGCCTGTAAAACGATGACTTTTTGTCTATAAATCATACAAAAATATTAAAATAATTTTTGTCTTTAATAGTCTGCAATAATACGTTTCATGATCAAGCTACTTACTCAGTTGGTAGTGGTCCACGCTCAGTAGCAGTCGTCGATGTGAATAACGATAATAAGCCTGATATTATTGTAGGAAACTCTGGTTCGAACACCGTCGGTGTTCTTCTCAACGCAGGCAATGGCGCTTTTAATACTCAAACTAATTACTCAGATGGCTCTTCTCCATGGTCAGTAGCAGTTGTCGATGTGAATAGCGACACAAAACCTGATATTATTGTAGCAAACTTTGGTTCGAACACCGTCGGTGTTCTTCTCAATGCAGGCATGGCACTTTTAATGCTCAAACTACGTATCCAGTTGGCACTAATCCATCCTCAGTAGTAGTCGTCGACGTGAATAATGACACAAAACCTGATATTATTGTAGCAAACACTGGTTCGAACACCGTCAGCGTTCTTCTTAACGCAGGAAGTGGTACCTTTAATGCTCAAACTAATTACTCAGTTGGCACTAATCCATGGTCAGTAGCAGTCGCCGATGTGAATAGCGACAACAAATCTGATATTATTGTTGCAAACTATGGTTCGAACACCGTTGGTGTTCTTCTCAACACGGGTAGTGGCACTTTTAATGGTCAAATTATGTATCCAGTCGGCAGTTCTCCAGTATCAGTAGCAGTCGTCGACGTGAATAATGACACAAAACCTGATATTATTGTAGCAAATACTGGTTCGAACACCGTCGGTGTTCTTCTCAATGCAGGCATGGGCACTTTTAATACTCAAACTAATTACACAGTTGGCACTAATCCTCAAGTAGTAGCAGTCGTCGATGTGAATAGCGATAATAAACCTGATATTATTGTTGCTAACTATGGTCCGAACAGTGTCAGTGTTCTCTTGCATTGTTAAGATTTATCGATGATCAACCACTATTTATTCATTAACATTATATTACTCTACTAAAAACATTACGCTTATAAAACATTGTACTATGGAACTGCTATTTACGCTCGCTCGATATTATGAATTTCAACAAAACATTGCGATTATAGATGATATTGGCAAATACACCAGTATATTCATACATTGGACAGTAATTCATTCTTTAATAATAATATTTCTAGTTATGGAACTTTTCTGGATGCATAGAACTATATGTATTGCAATTACTCAAAGTGCAAAACAATATAGAAAAGTTTCATAAGCTTAATTATTTTTCTCAGATCTGTTGAAAATAAGATCATTCATTTTGAGCAATCAATAAAATTCTCGCTTTGAAAATAAATGACCTACTGCTGATTCTTTGAGAGAAAGTCTACTTGAAGATGTGAGTAGTGTGATGAGAATGATGGTAAAGAAGGAAGTTACTCTCACACATTCTTCGAAACATTGTTCAATGAAAATTCAAGTATCTATTGGAAAGTACCTAATATCTTTTAGTCTGCTAGATTTTTATCAATATAAATACAAATTATGATAAACTACGTCAATAAAATAGTTTATCTAATTTAATTAAGATTTTTACCTCTTTTTCATTATATGTTCGGTATAAAAGATAATATTTAAGATTTATTGCTGATTTTTAAGCCAGTATCATCTCTAATTTTAGATTTTCGATACGTTATTAAAATACATCTACCGCTTTTATCCTATCCATAATTTCTAGTTGTTTACCAATGCTTCTTACAGAATTATTACAAGTAATCATATGATAAGAATATTATCATCGATATCGATACCATGTAAATACAACTCTTGTTTATATACAACTATTTGATACAATAACTAAAACTGTTATTGAAAATATGTATGCAGTATATATTTTTCTATTGAATAATAATAAGATAAGATTCCTTTTAAATATCAGCATTGAATTGTGAAAGAGCGACCTCTCTAGTGAAATATTTTACTTTGGTTATGAGATACATCCATTCACTATTATTTATATTTGAGTATATCATTCCAAGTCCAAGAAGATCAAGAAATGTCATTATCAGTTGATAAACGATAAGAAAAATAATATGTAATATTTTAATTCTATACGAAATCAGTATTTTTAGATATTTCATTTATGTATATACATATGACATCATTATCCTCACGTGATATTTTATTATTATTTGTTTAAAATTAGAAAAAACCATCATTTGCTTATATATAACTTTCGAATGATTCGATACTATCTTTATCATTATTACTATCACCAATTTTTACATTTCTAATCAAAAATGCAACTTAATAATATCATTTAGACAAAAACAAATACTAATGTTAAAATAGATTTATCAGGTAAAATGTTTCCTTAAGATTTAGTAATTCAAAGTTGAAGAAATATATTATTAAATGTATCCCAATTATTAATAAAACAAATAAATCAAGAAAATGAAAAATAAAATATAATATATAATCTTAATTATATTAATACATATTAAAATATTTGTAGATGATGATTTATGAACGAAATAGTAGTGCAACAACAAATCATTCACTTACATTTGATACGGGCAAAAATCTACTTAATTTCGATTGTCATTCCATAGCCTTTAATGATCAAGAAACACGTCTTTTACTTGTCGGTAATCATGATCTTGCATTTATTAATTTCGAAACAACTACTTCACAAATTGATCATATAATTGGTGAGGATGGAAATACCTTTATACCATCTTTATCTGATATTAAATTAGTATCATTATTTGATACATGTAATATTAATCGGCCAATTGTTGAATGGAATCATTGTGATACAAATCAATATGCTGTAGCTATCGATCGTATTGTTCGTGTATATACTGTTGATCATTCACGTATAAATGAAACAAATATGGTTATTGATTCTCATCATCAAGTAAGAAAATTTCTTGAAAAAAAAAGAACGAAGTGCGTCGGCCGGGAGTCGAACCCGGGTCGGCTGCTTGGAAGGCAACCATGCTAACCGTTACACCACCGACGCCTCGATAATACGAACATTATTTTACTACTTAATCGGATAAATCTGAATAATACTTAATGTTTTCTTTTTTTTTGTTTCTAGCGTCCGATTTCAACAATATCATATTCACCACATGATCCTTGTTTGTTATTAACAGGATCTCTTGATGGACAGATTCAAGTATGGGATACTCGCAATTGTACATCAAAAAGTCCAGCTAATTTAAAATTTACACAATCAACACCATTTAGTATTCGTCGTATTCAATGGTCATCAACAAAATCTGAGAATTCAAATCAATTAGCAGTTCAATGTGATCGTTCTATACGATTATATGATATACGACGAACAGATTCATGTTTATTTTCTTCAACTGATTTAGAACATACACAACGTATAATTAGTATGGATTGGACAAAACAAAATCATTCAATTGCTACACTTTCTTTGGATCATTCTATAAGAATGTTTTCAACAAGTGGTCAAATCATTGCAGAATCATTGCCAAATGAACAATCTCCTTATACATTTAGTAAAGTATGAATAACAAAATTTGACTTAATTTTATTGATTAAAAATAAACAAATAATTTAGATTCGAACAACTGCTTATGATAATTTATTTATATGTGCATCACGCGATACTACAGCATCAGCATCAGCAGCAAATGGTTTTGTTGGTTGGCGTTGGGATGAAGATCAATATTTACGACCATTAACGGATCATATATTAACAATAACTCCATCACCAATTGTTGATTTTTGTTTTGTTACAAATCCACGTTTATTAACTTTATTTAATAATTATTCATCATCTCGTTTAAATGATGAATCAGTAAATCGTTTTCTTCTACTTACTTGGTGTCGTGATGGACATTTATATTTAATTGATATGGATTCAACATTTCGACAGGCATGGACTAATCAACAAGCACGTAGTAAAAAGATCAGTCAATCCGATTCATCTAGTTCATCAAGTATACCACGTACATCATCAAATTTAAATCGACAACAACAAACAACTCGAATTAGTTCCACAAGAGCGCCAATGGATGCTATTAAAGATGAAGTAACTGATGGTGGCGAAACTGATGATGATGATTTTCAAGGAGTGTCAATGTCGCCAGACAATACAATGGAATCTTCTGATCCAAATGATGAAATTAGCGATTCCGTTTTGTAAGTAATACTAAATACGATTTTTTTTTATTAATTTTATTCTAGAAAAAAGAAACTCCGTCAACAGAATATTTCATGTATTTCTAGACTTGATCAAAGTAATGATACAGTAACAGAAGTATCCGTTAAAAGTGAATTAAATTCTTTACAAAATGAGTATGGTCCATATATAACTGTTGAAGGAAAAGATGAACAACGTCGTATGTGTGTAGTTCGTTGTTTATATTCATCAGATCATTCTTTATCATTTCGTATATATCTTTTTCTATCACGTCATTATCCTACTATATCACAATTATTTGTTCGTTTTAAATTATCAACAATATATTATGATGAACGTGTAAAACCATTTCAATCTCATATACAAAAGATGTTTGATGAAGTATCATCAAATTGTTTTTATCATGGGCAATTATGTTTACATAAATGTTTAATAAAATTAAAATCTTTATTTGATATACATCATAAACAGGAAAATATACTATCAAGTATAGGAACAATGACAGGTAATTCAAATAAAAAACGTGAACAATCATTAACAAGTTCGGAAAATGATTCATCGAATGGAATACTCAATGATAGTAGTAATAATATCAATAATAATAATAATGCAAATATTAATAATAATAATAATACGAATGGTTCTAATCGAATATTTGGTCCATCATTATCAGCACGTACAAGTAGTAGTCAAACGTCAGGTGCTTCATTTGGTCAAGCAAGTCGTCGTACATGTGGTGCACGTTTTTCAAGTGCTACACATTTAGTATGTTTTGGTCAGATATCGAATGGTCAACAAATGAATTCAGCATCAATTTTAGCTGGATTAAATGATGGATCAACAAATCGACCACAATCATTACCTTTGCGTTCCACAAGTTTAACAGTTGCAAAAAGTCGAGAAAATTCAACTTCCATTGAACAATCAAATTATCGACCACCAACAACAAATACAATGCAAATTCAACAAACATCCAATGCACAACGTTTACCAATGTTTTCAGCACCTGTTCGTTCAACATTAGGCACAAGCGTATTCAATGATCATCAACGTATGTCATCCTATCGTCCTTCACTAAGCCAATTAATTCATCCATGTTCAACTGTATCAATATATGATGTATCAATATTATTACCTGTTAGTAAAAAATTAGCTGATGATTATAAAATTGAGATAAATAATCCAATATATATGTGTGAAGAAAATGGAACTTTAACACAAGCAATGGGTAAAGATGAGTTAGCACATTGTTGGCGTTTACTTAATGGTTTATTAGATATACAACCAAATTTACAAGCAGATGATCCTTGGTTTCAAACACCAATTGCTCAAGGTAAATTGAAATTTAAATAAAATAAAAAATATTTTTTTTTGTTATCTTTTCCTCCTTTTATTTAGGCTTAATCAAACATTTAGTATCAAATTATGTTATGAATGGTGATATACAATCAGCAAGTATGTTTCTTTTAACAATGTCTCAAACACCCTATTTAAAAACAAAATTTCAATCAAAATTAATTAATGAACATAATAATGATCCTGTTTTATATTCTTATGCATGTTTATTACATCGTTGGAAACATTTTTATAGACGAACACAAATTTTATCTCAAATTGATCATAATTGTCAATCACCTGCACCAATAAATCAAATATCACCAATTACAACAGCTATTATATGTTCAATTTGTTTAAAACCTGTTTTAGGTCAACATTTTTTATGTGCATCATGTGGTCATGGCGGACATTTAACACATATGCATGAATGGTTTTCATCTGACGAACCTAAACATAGATTATGTCCAGAAAAAGATTGTATATGTAAATGTATTTTAAAACAACAAGAATTATTAACATTGAGTGCAAGTCAAATGCAACAACAAACACCAACGATAACAACACCACGATCGTTTTTTGCTCGTCAACCATCAGGTGGTATTCGTCCCATGTAAAGTTTTTGAGAGAAGAAAAAAAACATAATGCTTTATTTTTTTTTGTATATGTATATATGTCTTATGTATGTCATAATATTGAATAATGAGAAAATAAATTTAACTAAAGTAAATTACATAAAGAGCATGAATAATACCAGGAATCCAAAAAAGAAGATATAGAATAAGATTAAGTATTACAGTTGAATTACATTGTTTTTGAACGAAAAATACAGCTAATGGTGGAATAAATATAATTAATATAATAAGAAGAGTTGTTTTGCAGCAATTTGAAATTTCTACCATATTGTAACTACTTCTTTACGAATTCAAATGTTAGTTATGACAACGAAAAATGTCGAAGGACAACAGTTAGAAAAAATGTTTTATTTAGAGAAGAAATACTTAACGACAATTTTTTTTAATGTAAAAGAAAAATACATAGACAAACAACGCACCATTTTTTTTTTATTCATTTATAAACGTCAAATATTTGCATTTTAATTAGCAACGAAAAGACATTTGTGCATATTTCTATTTAATTTTCTTTAATTTAACTGAGAGATATCACTCGACAAATTTGTTTATTGACTAACAGAAAATGTTTTTATCAAGGATACATTAGGTAACTTTATGTGTTAAATTTCAATAGTACTAAAAATGATATATATATATTCAGAAGAAAATATTTTTCTTAGATATTTGTGTAAAATGTAGATCGATATATTGCCAGTTGTAGGCAAATAATAAGAATACAATTTAAAAATACATTTGACTCTATCATCTCAAGGACTAGTTCACACATAAAAATGTGTTATTACCTTTTCTCACAATGATTTAGACTATGAAAAGTATGAACAAATTGTCAATATTGATCTTATCATTCTATTTTTCAAAACTATAAATACTAGAAAAGTAGTGCAGACATAAAAAAAGGACCTATATTGTTCAAAAACCTTTTTCTAACATCTTCATAGTATTATTGCATATTTATTGAAAGTTATGTTTGCACAACAACGAATATCTCCTCTATATACTGTACCTATGTATGGTTATTCAGCTCATAAAACAGTGCCTTATTACTTATCAACAATGGATATCAATTGGACTGATACATGGCCTACTATTCGAACAATACTTCTTAGTAGCATAATGTTTATTTGTAGTTTAGCTGTTATAGGTCTTGACATTGCCAATTTGGCAATTGAAGGTTCAAAAACAAATACATCGCCAGAAATAGGAATGAGTCCTGCAAAGGTTGGTGCTGGCATTTGGTGTGGATCTATATCATTCTTGGCTGCTCTTTTTATTTTTATGATTAGTATGTACAAAGATTTTCTTTATTTTATATAATATTATCTATTTAGTTTTCGTACAAAATAAACGTATTGCAGCTACATTTGCTTTAATAGCAGTTACATTCGCTTTCTTCTTTACAATTGTTTTAGTTGGTCTTACTGCAAATTCAATTCAAATCTATAAACATTCAAATGTTGCTCACCCTTTAGATAGACGACAATACAAACTTATTATTGCTATACTATCAATAGGTTTATTTCTTATGACAAACTGTATAATATTCTTTCTTTTATATATCCGTGTCTTTTTTTCATCATTGACACGTCGATCAACAACATATTGACAAACATTAACATCAGTATTAATAACTATTTTTTTTCTATTGATTATTTTCTACATACATATTATATATATAAATATATTTTGAACCAAAACACAATTAATCGACTAAGATATTTTTGTTTCGTACATGTACTGTTCCACTTATAATATAGAACGGATGGCCATCTATATAATGTATAAATAGTAGTATTTTTATTATTAATTGTCAGCTTTTTTGCTTTCGATTTTATGTGGAAGGACAGACAGCATTTTAATATTAGTGAAAATGATATGGGGTGTTTACTATTTAAGATAGTCATCAAATTCTACAGTGTGTGAAGGTTGACCTTGTTTTGTTAAACAATTCTGGTTTACCTGTACATATATATATATATATATTAGTATATTCCTTTAAAAGGGCTTTAATTAGTGTTATTTTTACAAGTTTTATTTGCAACCTCAAAATATCATCTGTATGTGTCAGAAAGGAAGAAACTAGTGGGATATGCGTCATTGATTACTTATCAGAACTAAAAAGTGAAGCACTATAAAGCGGTATTTTTATTTTATTTTCATCATCGTTTATCATACGAACTAATAGTATACAAACAGTATCAAAAAATATTAATACAACATATTAAATTGTGATAAATATGTTGGGTGCTGCTCCTTATGGTCAACGACGTCGTCCTATTGGACCTTATCGAACTAAATCGCCACTGGATATTGCTTGGAGAGTAACATGGCCATACTTTATTACAACTATTCTTGCTACTATGATGATACTATGTACTCTACTTATTGGTGCACTAGAAATAGCATCATTATCTAAAAGTACAAGTACAGCTCTATATGGAAATACTTCTTCAACGGGTGCTGGTATTTGGTGTAGTCTATTTTTTTCTATTGCTTGTATACTTATTCTTCTTATAAGTAAGTAATATATATATATATATGTTCAATTGACAAAGAAGACTTCTTTGTTTTTTTATATAGATTATATGCCTCATGTTCGTTTGTGGGCTACAATAGCTTTTATTGCGAGTATTATTGCTGTTTGTTTTGCTATTATTCTTATTGGCTTAGATTCTAAAGCGATACAAGATGGACGAGCATATAATAGTCTACCTGTTAAAACCCAGATTCTTTGTGCACAATTAGCTTTTGCTATTGTAGAATTACTACTGTGTTTTGTCTATATTGGCATATATATAATGGTTGTTATATTGGCTCCTAGTCGTATCCGTCGAACCCCACGAGTACTTATTCGTTAGAGCGTCATATGAACTATTAATAAACCATTTCGAAATAAAATAGTTTTACTTTTTTAAAATTTTGTTTCATATTAAAAAGAATAGATGTATTGAAAAAAAAATTATCATATTGCTATTAATATAAAAGTATCATAAGTAAGATGTTTATCAAATTGATTTATCGTGTCAAATTTATATCATATATATGTTGACAAATAGAAAGATAAGTGTGATATATTTACCTTGATTGTTTAGACTTTACTATTTTTCTGTGTCAAGGTCTATGCTTTACAGTCAATATATGATTAATATTAGTTGGACACAAAAAACAAATATCTCAAGAATCAGATTTATTTAAATAGTGTGTTGCTCTGTACGGAAATCATTAATTGTGTTTACTATTTATCTAGTGTTTTTATTTATCGGATATCTGATTTATAAAAATATATTTTTCAATATCATATTTTTGTTAAATTAAGCTAGCAAGAAAATTATTCGCGTACAACATTTACTCATTATGTACGACTAGCGTGAAACATGCATATAATAAACCTATAATAATATACTCTCAAAACTATTTTCTATATGACTATATATTTAGCTTAGAGGATCTGAATGAAGAAAATTTATCTAAATTTGTACTCGTGTATTGAATCTAAGCGAAGGTCTACTTATCTATTTTGTCATAAATTATCTTAATTGAAAGTTTTTTTTTTCGGCTATCAAACAAGGTTATCATCTGTATAATGCATTCAGTCGTAGCATATGAGAGACTAATAGTAAAGAATTAAAGAAAGTTATAAATAATTTACATATTTATTTTTTATAAGTGCTCACGTGAATGAAAATTCAGTGTATATAAAATTATTGAAGGTATTTGACGATATTTATGAGTTTCGGTTGAGTATTTAATTAGCTTATCTTCGATTACATTGGTTTTAGATTTAACTAAATTTATAGTATTTTAATATCCAAAAAAGAAAATTAACGTGGTATAGAATGACCTCTTCCGTACAAATGATCGTTTGTCGACATATATATATAAACCAACCAAAATCTTTGCTATTTACATTACCTTAATTAAATGATTGACTAATCGATTATTTGAATAAACTGTGGTTTTTCAATGTTTACAAACAAAGATATATTTTATTTTATTTAGAATAATAAATAATCCTCTATAGAACTAATTCATACCTGTCGTAAACATAGTCAGCATTTGGGTCCATTCTAATAAATATTCATATGTATATGCTTGTTGATTCTATCTTCGATAAGTTAAAGTGACACATAATATATTCTACAAGGATATCGTTTATTTTATCAATAGAATTGTTATTATTCTCTTGTGTATTATGTTCTATGATAAAATTCATTTTTAGATAATGGCAAATTCACCATTTCCATATTTCACCTCTGGTACAATAGTACATGGTTTTGGTCGTGGTAGCAAAGAACTCGGCTGTCCAACAGGTATTTAAATCTAGGCAAGTTTTCTTTATCGGATGATAAAGAATATTAATTCGTTTTTGTTCTTAAATTTTAGCAAATTTTGATGAAACTACAGTCGAAAAATTGCCATCATCAATTCATCAAGGTGTTTACTATGGATGGGCAAAATTATTAAAAAAAGGTGATAATGAAATCTATAAAATGGTTACTAGTGTAGGAACAAATCCATTTTATAATGGTGAAAAAAAGACAATGGTATATGAAATTTCATTTGTTTTCCTTTCTATTTATTATTTATTTAGGAAACACATATCTTACATCAATTTCCAGAGGATTTTTATGATGAAACATTAAAAATTGTTCTTATAGGTGAAATACGAAAGATGACAACATTTGAAAATGCAAGTATGTCACATAAATCTTTGATTCATTTAGAATACTTTCCAGAGGTACGCTCAAATTTCCTAAAAAGGAAATTTCCCCGGGAATTCAGGAAAATACTGTACCTTCAAGCAAAAGATGACTAGAAATTACTCAGAAAATTCGGCAATTACAGCAATTTCAATAATTTCTCCTGCTTCGGGCGTACGCTTCCTCAGATTTTGCTTGAAGGTCTAGTATTTTTCCCAATTGTCAGAGAAATTTTCATTTGCAGAGATGGTAATTTCTTCCTGTAATGTCAGTAATCTCCAGTGTTATGGGGAGAAATTGTTGGGAGTTACTCTTGCCATATGTATATTACTTTCAAAACTTCTCCTTTAGTAGTTGGTAATTTCCTTTTTAAGAATTTTGAACGCCGCTGCTTTTGTAGTTGATTCCTTTCGATTTTATATTAGAGCTCAAAGTTCATCGTTATTGCCTTCTTCTTAGTGCTCTTAGATAATTCCGTTTTTATTAGTTTAATCTTTTACAGTATTATATGACAAAATATCGTACGGTCTTCATTATATACCACAAGTTCTCATATATCAATATTATCGAGATAGACATGTCGCATTTGTTCGCCCTTAAGTCTAATACTATCATTAAATTCTTATATGACCTTTGCTTTTTTGTTATAAAGATTTCTAAACAAAAATTTACGTTTAGATGAACTTGCTGCTGCTATTCAAAATGATATATCAACTGCTAGTAACAAACTTGATTCCGATGAATGTGGTCAATATCTCAAACATTCTTTTTTTCAACAGTGATCTATCAATCAAAATCTATTTAAACAAAAATGACGATGAATATCAATCTATTTTCTCTTCATTTTAAATTGACATGTTTTGTTATTTTTATAACAAATAATAAAACAAAACAAAAAAAAACAAAGAAAAGATTCTAGTTATTTAAATATTTGAAAATTCCATTGAGTCATCATAACGTGTCGCAATTGATTGTTCACGATGATCAACATTGAATATTGGATGACGACCAAATGTAAAATTTTCTATACGTTTATGAGCTTCAGATCGTTGTAATGGGCCAAACATCATAAAACAAACGCCAAATATACATAATATTGATAAAACTAATATAATAAGAAATGAATTCGGAAATGTATTTGTAGAAATTGTTGATGAAAGTTCATTTGTACAATTTTCATCCATATCAAACGATGATGATAATGACAAATTATTATGAATATATTGATTACTGTCAGAACTTCGTATCAGCATTAAGTAGTAATTGAGAGATAATTATTGTTCAATCATCATTCTCATTTTTCTCTTATATATATATATACATTCTAGAATATTGACATAAGAAAGAAAGAAATAGAAACAAAAGTTATGAATTATTCTTCTTATTATATATATATTTCTACTCTTTTTTTTCTATACCTTAAAACTACATTGACAAACTAAAAACTAGGGATGTATATACACACTATATTATGTTTGTCTTATACATTTTAAAGAAACACTCTTTCATATAATAATAAATTGCATACTACTACTACTACTACTTGCACGATAGTAATGAAAGGGAATATGTTTGGTGGTATCTGTTGACCTTGACATTAGACTTTTTCCTTTTCCTATGTTGATAATAAATTCAACATACTGATTGATATATTCAAGGCTCGACGGAAATCGGAAATATGCGTGACAGGTATTTGGCAAAAAGAAAGAAAATAACATGACAACAACGTCGGTCATATATGCTTGTTTAACTCTAATGTCAATTAAATAGAAATCGGTAACAACAAAAAGAGAAAATTAAAATATTAAAATAATTTCTATTGAATGACATACAAAGAACAATAAATAATTAAAGAATTAAATTTATATCATAGATACTAATCATAATTATTTAATTAGTATAGAGTCGATAATTACAATAAAATTTCATGTGACTGATGCATAGCTTACTCTAGTGCGGATGATATATTGATGACTGAGAGAGGAAAGCAGACATTATATATGGGATAGAAATATACAATTATAATATTGGTTTATATATATTGAGTTATTTCTCTGTCCATTGGTATATATTAATTATTCTCAATCGATCCTCTGAACATATATATTTATATAACAAGACATGAGCGCCCTCTCTCACAATAATTTTCTTATTTTGAATATCAAAATATTCGTTTTTTACATTTAAATAAATAAAAATTTTTTCACATAGATGATATTCTCTAAAAATCATATTTATTTTATAAAAAACTTAAAAAAGTATCTTAAATGTCCACCATTGGTAGATTATGGAAAGTCTCCAAAGTAGTTTTTTGTTGTTTATTAATACTATATTCCTTTTTTTTATCAATAGTGTCAATGTAGAAACTAAAGTTCTTGTTAAAAAAAATAAGAAACATGATTCGATTAACATTATGTGAAATAATATACCTATATTTTTTCTTTTATTATAGATTAGTTTTTAGGAACACATAAAACATCATGGGTGCCTACAAATATTTGCAAGAAATCTATCGTAAAAAGCAAAGTGATGTTATGCGTTTTATTTTCCGTATTCGTACATGGCATTATCGACAATTAGCTGCCATTCATCGTGCTCCAAAATCAACTCGACCTGAAAAAGCTCGTCGTGTTGGTTATAAAGCTAAAGCTGGCTATGTAAATAAACTTTATTTTTTCATTATTAAATAGTAAATTATATATATATATAATTTAGGTTATCTATCGTGTCCGTGTTCGTCGTGGTTCACGAAAGAAACCAGTACCAAAAGGTCAAGTCTACGGTAAACCAAAACATCAAGGTATCAATCAATTAAAATTCCAACGTTCATTACAATCGGTTGCTGAAGAACGTGTCGGTCGTCGTTGTCCAACATTACGTGTTCTTAATTCATATTGGATTGCACAAGATGCAACATTTAAATTTTATGAAGTTATTCTTATTGATCCATGCCACAAAGGTAAAGAATAATAAATCAATTTTTTATGTCTTTTATACATTATTTTTTCATTATTAAATAGGTATTCGTCGTGATGCACGTATTAACTGGATATGCAGATCTAACAAGAAACATCGTGAATTACGTGGTTTAACATCAGCTGGACGAAAATCTCGTGGACTTGGTCATGGTCATCGTTATTCACTTGCAACTGGTGGTTCACGTCGTACATGCTGGAAACGTCGTCAACAACTCAGTCTTCGACGATATCGTTAAAAGACAACAACAAAATAAACGACAACAATATTATCATAAAAATTCGCTTGATTTCTTGCTATGTATTGTTGTTGTTGTTTTGTATCTGTTTATTGAAAAAATGAAAGAAGAAGTTAAATGAGAAAAACAACTAAAATTTAATAGTATGAAAAAAAACGACGAATAAATGATGATTGAATATAATTTTACTATCATATTTATAGGCGATGCAATCTACATTTGTAAGGGGCTTGAAAATTTAATGTGATTTGAAGAAAAAATCATTATGAAACTTATCTTTTTGTGTCAGAATAATAATAGATTTAGATATTACTTAGAAATGTGATAAGTTTAATATTAATTGCACTTCTTACTCTTACATAAGTAGAAATTATATGCATTTTGATTATGATACAATCTTTGAAAAAAAACACATTTTAAATTTTGAACGTAAGAAATAATTAACTGCAAGTATTGTTTTCTGAAATATGATAACATCAAATATTTCGTAGACGTATGAAAGAATTAGATCTACATGAATTGTATCAATAAAAAATATATTGTATTATAAATACTTTATGCTCTTTCAGTTATATTCTTAAATTAATCTATATTAACAGTTAAACGAATATAATTTAAACATACACATACATTCTATGAATATTTTATATATGATATGGTTAAAGATCTATGTATAGCTTTTGGAATGCATGTTAATTATTCTACTGTTCATAGTTGTTGTTAAAGATCATGAAAAGATTTCGAGATGACTCTATAAAGGGAAATCCGATAGAGTTAAATTTGAAGATAAGCGAATTCAAAATATTAATCCATCTGTTGCCAAACACACTATGGACTTTGAAGAAGTGTGTATGTTACATCTGTCTAGAAAAAAGTTATTATTCAGCGTTCGCTCTTTAAAAGACGAGACTTGCTGGAAGGCAATTTGTACTTGATCTAACGACGTGTTTAGTATCAGCTGGATACGTTATTACTTTGACCTTGCCTGTCTTCAGGCTTGACTCCATCGAATTTCCCCTTGTCGAGCCATGTCAAAAAAAAATGTCAACAAAACAATAGTTGAAACTCCATATGACCTAAAGAATAGATTAACCTAAGAAATCGAATGAATTCAAAAAAATAGTTTTCATGATGACATAAAAAGAAAAAAAATCAATTATATTGCTTGATTAATACGTAAGATACATGAATTACTTAAATAATTATCATTTGTGGAATATCTTACACATATGGTATGATGCCAACATAGATTGAAATATTAGATCTTTATCTGTTTAATAAAAAGATTATTAATATAATCGGAACTTAATTTAATAATCGACTAAATTGCTATTTATAAGAGATTATAATCATCGAGGAAGCAGAATGAGTTATATTGGAAATCTCTAGGATATCAAGCATAAGAAATTTATCTGATTGTCGTCATCATGAAAAACATTAGTACTCATATTCCTAGCTATCGAAGCAGTCATCATTAAATTCCTAAGTGAAAATAAATGCCACAAGTACTAACACATTTCTGACTCTTCAAACTATTATCCGATAATATAAACCTCGTTTTTTGCCTTTAAAAAAAGTACCCTTAGGCTCATTTGTTATCAATTATTCTATTCTCTATTAATATATATTTGATCATTAAGTAAAAAACTTGCACATGTGAAAAATAATCTTTATACTACATAAAAAACAAATCATTTTGCACACAAAATTTCTTGTCTCTCAATCACCGGCAACATTTTTTTGTATATTAATTTTTCTATCAAACAAAAACAATAATTTCACTATCTATACAAATTCGAATCAAGACAGAAGAAAAAAAAATTTTTTTTAGAGAATAAGTAGAAAAAAGAAAAATAAAAACATTGGAATGACTTACAAAGATAAAAGAAAAAAACATATCACAAAAAAACAAAAAGAAAAAAAGATTCGATTTTTAGACATATTCTCCTACTGAATTAAGAACAATATGATTTGTTTTAATTGAAGTAACACGTATATCAATCTGTGATTGAATAACATTATCATTATCTTCAGAACTCGATTGATGACCACGATGTCGTTTTCGAGTACCATATGCACATTTATGTATATTTTCACCTGGTCTGATATATTCAAATTGTAATGTAAAATGACGTATACAATGTGTTTCAAATATTCTTTGTAATTGACGACCAAATAATTCTGTACATGTACTTAATGATAAATCATCATTACAAACAACATGTAACGTTGCAAATACATCTCGAGCTGTGGCTCTAAATAAGCAAATTTCGGTAAAAAAAAAAAGAAAAGAAAGTTTTTTGATTACCTCCAAACATGTACACTATGTACTGCACGTATTTGTGGTATTGTTTTCATAATTGTTTGAATTAATTGACGAGTATTTATACCCGATGGAACAGCTTCAACAAGAATATGACCAAGAGACCAAACAACAGGAATAGCTTTAACTGCGATAATTATTACCATCAGTAATGTTAATGCAGGATCAATATATTTTAACCAGACATTGACTGGTTGACCAGAACGATCTTTACTTGGGATAAATTTATTTAATAAACCAGAAAAAAGTACAATAGATGATTCTAGAAGGACAGCCTAATTAAAACAAAAACAAAAAAAGAGGAAATTATAATTATTAGTTTTCATAATTCTTTTTTTTCCTCGTTTAGGTCAATTTGACCTAATCTACAAATTGAACGTCAGTATATAATTTGCATTTTATGACGCTCAATTAGTAGAAATATCATATATCACTTTAAAACCCAGATTTTCTCGGAAAGAACAACTTCATCATTCGGTATGTTCGATACACTTGAAATAGAAATACTTGAAAATGTACTCGTATCACATGAGAAAAGAATGCCAAGTAAAATCATGATAAATAACTGATACAAAAAGATATTCAGTTGAAACTCATAGACATAAAAGCACTTTAATTAAACGTTCTCATTATTTTAAGATAAGTTTATTTAGATTGATAAATAATTCTACTAATGTGTATGTTATACACAATGGAAACTAAATTGTCTTCCGATAGTTAATATTATTCAAGAAATAAAAACAAGTGCACATTCTCGACTGCATATTTAAAATCCCAAGAGAATTATACTTAATAGAAATCACATGAGAATCAAAGAAAATAGACAATTCAACTTAGATTATATATTTAATACAAAATCAAACAATAGATACTTACCAATGAATGTAAACATAATGCATGAAGTGTTGCATAAACTCTTGATTCTTGAAAATCATCATCTAATTCACTTTTCTCTTCATTTAACATTAATGTTGAATAGGCTGTTGATTCACCACTTCTAGTTCTCATTCGATTTAATCCACTAGATATTCTTGTTGGTACATTTAATCGTTGTTCTTTCGTATCAATAGTTTCTGTTTGAGTTATATCAGCAGTAATAAATGCATTTGTATATGTATCATTTAATGATGGTAAAACTAAATCATGTGATTTTCGAGGTTTTTGATTAATATTTACTGTTGTTTCATTAATAATAATTTCAGGTTTAACTATAATAGTATTTTGTTCATTTACAATTTGTTCATTATCTGTATGATTCATATCAAGATTTCGTAATGTTGTATAAACACTTTGTACAAAATCATTTTTTTTCTGTTCAACGATTTCATCTCCAATATTATGATCATGAGAATAACCACGAAATAAAAATAAACCTAATAAACCAATACAAGCACCAGCTGAACCTAAATAAATCATAGCTGATGGATCTTCAATATGATTTGGATTAATTAATTTATTAATAGCATCGACAATAATAGAAAGTGATAAAGATAAAAGAAGAACTTCTTGTAGAAGACCAGCGAGTAATTCTAATCGAGCCCAACTAAAATAGAAAAACAATGAAAATTTAATTTGTTTTTATTGAAATAATAAAATAAACTTACCCAAAAGTATTTTTAGCATGTAAACGTTTTGCTTTTGCATAACGTAATGCAACTAACGAACCAACTAATGCAATACCTTCAGCAAATGAAAAGAGTCCATCGGCAATGAGTAATTGGGATCGACTACGAATTCCGTATACTATTTCAGCTACTGCTATACCAACTGTTAAAATAAGCATAATAATCATTCGACCCGTTTTCGATCTTAACATTCGTATACACCAGCGTAAACGATGCCATGCCATCATTTACTTGTTTTTTGATCTTATCACTGCTAGTATTTTTGTTTTCTTCCTATTATCACTTGCCTTCGATATAATAATAAGTAATCATTATCTCAGCTGGAGATGTAGGAACAAAAAGAATAACCGAGAAGAACAGATTTAATGGCATCACTCTAGAATTCATAAGCAATATTTAGTACTTATGAAACGATCAGAAATAACATTTAGATTTGTAATAAGGGATCGATGGTATCAGGTGCTATTTACAGCTGTCGCCTTGTTTTCTACTAATAGACGGATGGAAAACATCGAACGTTTATTAATCTATATATCGACTGACAGATGATAAGAAAATAGAAAGTTCTGTATTAACACATCATCTTGTTCTGACGCAAAAATCATTAATGTGGAAAATAGAAGACATAAAATAGATCTAAAGAAGTTTATCTGAAACTCATATAAACACTTGTTTAATCGTTTACAGTCGTCTAAACTAACGTATTTGTAGAAAAAACAAGAGAATTTTTCCAAAAATAAACAAGTTTTTTCTCTATAATTTCTAAGAAATTTTAATCACAAACTATATATAGTTTCTAGTAGGATTCTTTGTTTAATCTTTCATGAAAGACATCTGTAATCATTAAAGCATGAATAATTATTCTTTCTAGAAAGATTCCACACAATTTTCTTCGAAATTATTCTTAAAAAAAGAAAATAACATCTTTTATAGAAAAGAATTCTTCAAAAACAAACCATAACTATACTACTTCTTTCAACACATTTAAAAATCTAATCTAATTAATATATGTATGATCAAATAAATAAATATTTCTATTTAGAAGAAAAAAAAACAATTTAAAATTTTTATCTATAACTAATATCTATATATGCTTACGCGAATAAAGTCTTCTCTTGTATTGTTTTATTAATGAATACCTTTCTTTTATTTATATCGACAATGATCGACGTGATATGGTACTAGAAAGATGAAAGAGACACTTTTTTTCCTATCCTAACATTTGTCTGTCTACCATATCATGTTTACATTTTGGAAAGTTTTTTTTCTTCCTTTGCGACAACTTTTTCTCACAATTGCTATCGTCATAACCCGACCAGGTTGTTATTATTCTGTCTGATGTAACACCATCGCTCCCATACTATCAACGCGTGTATTACTAATCATTTTTATTCTGTTTGATGTCGTCGACTCACTATAGTTTTGCAAAACATCATGCATAGTAGACTTACATATTGACACATAGAAACAAAATGATCTCTGCATGTTCTTTTCTCGATTGGTAAATGCGGAAATAAAGTGACTTATCCATCCGGCTATTTGTATAATAAATAATTAAACTATATTAAAGTGATTGAGTTATTTAAAAACCCTACACATTTTCCTCTTATATGTATAATAGGTTATTTCTAATACATTCTCTATCACGCAAACAAGAAAGAAGAGAAAAAAAACAAGTGTTTTTGTCTGAAAATCGAGTCATTGTGCGTGCAATAAGTCTTTAGTCATGAATATTACCAACGAAATTCCTTTGTCTATCATTTATCTTAATGTACGTGTCTTTGAAAAACAACACAAGTATTCTCTCTACATCAGTCAGACAAACAAGAAATAGAGCGAGTGAGAAAAAAAAGGGCAAGAAGCCTTTAAGGAATAGATCAAAAAGAAAAAAAAAGAACCAAGGGGAAATATCGGATCTTTAGTTAACAAGTCAAAGAAGGAAAAGAAAATGAACCAAAAGATTTCTATAATTGAAAATAACAAGACACAGATATTTAATAGACATTAATTGTGTAAACAAGAAAAATCTCTTGTATAGTTGAAAAGAAAAGAGAGAAAAGAATTTTTAATTTCTGAAAAGAGAATAATACATGGTTTCAGGTGTCGATTATTTTCTCTATTTTCACCATCTATTATGAATGTGTAAAATAAATATAAAATGTCTTGACAAAAAAAAAAAGGCGGAAGGAAAAAAAATATACTCTTAACTATATTGTTCTTATAAATTAGTTTTCTTTCTTCAAGGTCTTTTTTCTTTCTGTATATTCACTTACTATTGAAACTTTTTTCTTATCTACAATATAAAATAATAGATACTTAAATAGATATAAATTCATGGTTTATGAAACTATTATTTTATATAGAGTTCAAACGTTAGAAAATGAAATATTAATTAGATAAAAACTTTTAATCCGATTGCATCACTATAACAAAAAAGAATGAAATTATCATGTTAGATCTCTCTCTCTCTCTATCTAGTTCGAAAAATTGATGCAGAGTTATAATTAACTATGAAAAAAAGATTTTATATGAACTCACTAATTAATAATTATGTAGAGTTTTTTTTTTGCGTTGTAAAAATTAAATAATTGATAGTACTGATGAAATATGACATACACGCAACTGAAGACAGATATTATAGTCTATTATTTTTCTGAATAATTTTCTTAACTATTCTATCTTGTAAATATCAACATATTTTTATCGCGATATTATTTTCCTAATCCGAACTAAATGTACAATGACCTTTTATTTTGCATTATATATAGAATGTCAGCAAAATAAGGTTTATACTCGATACATATCTTGAATATTTCTATTGATTATTATATATGTTATAATTAATATCTATTATAATTTAACGTACATAAAAATCTTGTTGACAGATATAATTTTTCAGCTGATAGAAGCTCGTATATTTGAAGTTAAAATAATAGAATTTTTTACTAATGTTATAAGCAGAGCATATAAAATGAATATAAGAAATAATAGTTATACTCTTCAATAAATACTAAAACCCATATGTATGTGAAAGATTACAAAAAAAAACATAGAAGAAACAATTTTGATAAATAACAACAAGATGTTAACATGACATTGATGTATCCGAAAAAGAAAATATGAAATTCTACTTAATAATACTGTTTATATCATCATCAAACTATAATAAATCATTTATAGAAATAAAATATCAACAATGTTCAGAAAAATAATTTTCATCTTGACTCATTGTTCGTCGGTATCTTGGTGATTGCGATAATGCTTCATCAGGATCAATATCTTTTGTTTTGTCGGGTGTTATTGGTATTCCTGTTCGATCTTCTGCTACATTACCTGCTTGAATTTGTGCTGTTATTTCAAGTTGTGATGGTGCATCAGGTATAGATTGACTGCTAATTGATGTTCTAGCTGGTAAAATAATAACATCTTCATCGGTATGTATGATGGAATTCTTTTTTGCAGATAATTGTTGTTCATTAAGATGTCGTTGTACTGTTAAACGTACACCTTCATCATTAACATCATCATATTCAACATCTTCAGCAATAGATTGTTGTTGTCGATATATATCAGTATTAATACCACTATATGGATGATATAATGATGAATAACGAGGATCCATTCGACGAGATAAATTTCGATTTGTCATTGAATGTACTGTATCATCTTGTCCAAATTCTTGTAATTCATAGACACTATGTAATGTTGATTGATTGTCATATGGACGAATTGAAGGTACACCAGATAATACTGAAGCAGCGTCATTAAAATTATTTCCTCTTTCTGGATGTGTTCCATCTTTACGAATATTTCGTTTAACAAGTACAGAACGTTGACGACGAAAACTTTTACTTATCGATGTTGGCATAACTTCTACTTGTATCATTGTTCTTGGTAAGGGAAATTTTTTTGTTTCAGGTAATAAAAGTGCCATTGAACCAAGAACTAATGAAAGAATTCCATAGATAAGACGAGCTCGCCAATCGTTTATTTCGCCCTTAAATTAAATTTTTTTAAGAAATAAAATAATCTTATATATTATTTACTTACTATATCTGGAGAAGCAAGTGCAATACCAATTAAACGAAATGTATAACAAATACCAAGTGTTGTACATCTTTAAATAATAATAAGAAATAAAATTTCAATAACCACATCGAATAATTTACCTTAAACCTGTTGGAAATATTTCACATGTATAAATAATTAAAACAATAAATGCAGCACGAGTAGCAAATTTTCCTGTAAAATAAACTACAAGCATTGCTGAACGTGCTGGTTCATTATCTATAGAATAAAACATAAATAAGTAAATATAAATAAAATAAAATTTTATTACCAAAGTTAACAGCTACTGAACCAAGTAAACAAACTTCTGCAATAAGAAAAAAGCAAAATGTTGGCCATCGACGACCCCATCTAAATAATAGAATTTATTCAATTTTACATTCATTAATCTATTTACATATGAACCAAAGGAACTGCAACAACAAATGAAAGAACTTGTATTAGATGTGTATAAAAATAATTTGAAAAAAAATTATCAGTTAAATGTTGTGTTAAATGTGGAACATCAAGACTGTATTCAGTTAAAGAACTAACAAGCCTTAAAATAATCAAAAAGAAAGAAAAAAGAAGTTTTGCATGTTTTTTTGTTTTCAGATAGAAATACAAACCAAAGGCCACACATAACCAGTAAATAAATAATTAATATATATGAATGAAGATAATCTGTTGGATAAAATGTTGATAATGTTGGATAATAATGATGACCAGTTAGTATTTGTAGTATACGTTGTGTTAAATTATTTTTATTTGTTATAGCTTGTAATTCTACCATATCAAAATCTGGATATTTTGAACTTAAAGATTTAATATCCTCTAAAGAAAATTTGTTCTTAATTATATTTATTTAATTAACAAAACAAATACAAACCAAGTCGAAGTAATGGTTGAAAATCACATTGAATACCTTTCGAATGTTTACCACGAAGAAAATCACGTGCCTCACGAAATACTTCTTCAAAATTAACCCCATTAAATTGAGCAATTTTTTTTAAAGATACTACAGCTGTAAAATAATCTTTTTGAGTTGTATACCAAAACATCGATTCTTCTGTTATCCTAAATGAACGAGAACTGATACTTTTCTATAGGTTAATTATATTCTATGCTCTTTATTCTTATTCATTTCTACAGATCGATAAACAATGATATTTGTTATGGTTTAAAATCGTCTATCTTTTGTATCAACATACCAATGAAGAGCAGCAGTAATAATCAATGGTATAGTAACAACTGCTTGTAAAATTTTCCAATTTTTTATTAATAATCCAAGCCATGGTATAATCATATCTAATAAAAATACAATACCCAATAATGATAAACCATAGATAGCTCGAGTTTCAATTGGAAACTAAATAGATCTAATTAAAATCTTGTATACACAATAGAAAATCAATTGTTTACCATTTCCATAACATATGGAATAGTAATAACTTGTACAGCGCCAATAGCCACTCCAATAAAAAATATAAAGAAGACATAAGAAATATAATCATCACTTAGTAATTGAAATATTGATAGAATACATGCTGTCCACATTGAACCTTTAATTATACGTATTAATTTAACAAATAAAGAAATAAGAAAAAAATTTACCAGATAAAATCATTTTTCTTCCACTATAATCAGCAAGATAACCAAATACAAGACCACCAAGAATTAAACCAATTATGTATACTATATAGGGTAGTTTTACGCGTGCCTTATTACATAAAACTTCGTACTAGAATAAGACAAAAATGGATCATTATTTTAAGTGAGTGCTACTATTTTATCTATTCAACAAAATAAAAAAAAGATATTAATTCTTACTTCTGTAAGTACAGTTTGTCCATATTCGTTGCTATAATTATATATTGAATCTAGTTTTCGAGTTTGTCCATGAATTCTTATTTTTGTCATGTTTTGATTCGTGACTCGTAACATTGTATTATTCAATTGTAAAGATGATTGATTATTTAATATATTCAGATAATGTGGTGTGCAATCAATATGCTTCGGTGATAATACTACATATTCTATATTAATAGATAATAATTTTATTTTTAAAAATTCTTACAAGCAAATGCTGGCATTTCTGTCAACCATGCTGCAACAATACCATAACCCAATGCCACAAATAAATAAGCACGTAATTGATATTTTCCAAACAAACCTTTGTATGTACTTTTAAGTGCTTTATCAGAATCCCAACTTTTCTTGAATGTTTTTACATTTCGTAATGTTTTAGTCATATCTAATTCCGCAGAACTAATTGTTGAAATTGGTGGCTCTAAATAGTTCAATAAAAATGTCAAAAAACAATATATAGACCGAGAGAGATTTCTCTACACATAAAGAATAATAATAGATAGCTAGAAACAGAAACCATTATATGTGGAATAAATTAATATTTATAAGAAACAAAAAAATTTCCAAATAACATACGTTCGTTAGCCATATTGTCTTGATTCTCAATTGTCATCATGTTTTGTCTTATAAAACATAAGAATGAGTAGTTTTTACTCTATTCACTCTTTTTTTTCTTCTTCTAACTATATAATCTTGTTAAATATCATCAATAAGAAGAGTATAAATTTAGACAATAGTGTAGGTGGTATGGATCTACTAGTTGTATTTTAATTTGATATATATACGAACAGAAATGAAATAATAATCTTTATTTCATCAACTATGATCGATATGACTTTTTTATTGAAAAGTAATCATTCTATGTTCATTTTTTTATAAGTCAATTTAAAAAGAAAAAGAATTTTACTAAATAACATTTAGATTTATAAAAATAATCTTATATGTTACTTTGTACAAATAGTAATCATTGTCGTATTTTCTCATCAGTTACCTGACATATACACTGATCAAAATATATGTCTTATTGTATTTTTCTTTCGTCCTTCTTATATCTTTTGAAAATTAAACTTACTTACTTATTTATTTTTTATTGATGAAATATTATTGGAAAATCGATTAAAGTATTGTAAAGAAATAAGAAATTTGAATCATCACGCTATCGATATATAATCAATACTTATTCGGACAGACGAAAGGAACGAGAGAAATATGTACGTGATGTTCTTCCTTTCTTTTCTTTCTCATTTGTTCAGTACATTTTCTTGTCTTTTCTTACTATCATCGTCATCTCATCAAACGTTTAACGTTCGTTTACATTTATCAAAAAGCATCAGCTCGTTTTTTTTTCTTCGCACTCTTTTTTCTTCTTGACATACATACATATATATATATAATCAACCAATCATACCTAGTTGTCATCCGTTTTTTTCTTCTTTACATTGACAGTTTAATACTATTATAATTATTTGTAACTATACTAACCTTCATTTTTCATCATATAATCGTTGAGAATTTGAAATAATATTTAAATTCTATATAATACAATCATTATCCTTTCTTTTTTTTTTGTAAGTCTTTATTTAATCGCAAAAAAGAAAACTCGAAACTAATAAACATAAAATACAAGAGAAAGAAGATCTATGTCTGCATGTGTGTATTACTATTAATAATTTCTTTATCTATCTGCGCATAATAACTGCACCACCTTTAAGGAGGAAATAGAAGAATACAAACAAAAGAATAATACACAAATAATAGCAGACATGCAAAAAGAAAAAAACAATGTTTGTTTTTGGTATATAAAAAAAAGATAATCATAATGTATACAAACGGATCGAGAAGTTTATCAACCAGCACCAAGTTATATATATAAACGAAATAAACAAAACGATCATGAAACATCTAAAAAACATAAACATTTAATTGCATATCATTTGAAATGATAAAAACTTACAGGAAAATTGTAATTCAGAAAATCTTCGTGTAAGTTGATCTTGAGTAAATCGAACAAAACCTTCATATTGTTCTAGAAGAGGAAAAAAACAGTATAGATTTATTTGCAAATTAAGAAAAAAAACTTTGATTTTACCACTAAGTTTATTTGATAAAATCCTATCGTATTCTTCACGAAGTTTTTCTTCACGTTCTTTCAATAATCTTGCACATATTATATTAACTTGTTTAAGTGTTAAAAGATGTTGTGAATTTGTTGTTGAGCGACATTCATTAAGATTAGTATTATTATCATCGTCACTTAATTCAGATGATGTTGGAATTTTCATCTGATGACGTCGTTGAAGACGACGAACTTCCTCTTTTATTCGAGTTAATAAAACATCTAATATATCAATAGAAAAAAAAATGAATTAAAATATTATAGACTTTCTTTTCTCATTAATTTACCAGTCGTTAAAATTGGTTGAACATCAGGAAATACTGTTGATTCTGTTGTTTCATTAGTCATTGTTGTTGTTGTTGGTGATGAAACAACTGTCATTGGAAAACAACGACGTTGTCGTTTTGATGATGATGGTGATGCTGTTGTTCGAGATTCAAATGGATTATTATTGGAAGAATCTCGATCATGTTCAAATGAACGTTTTAATGCCATACATGAAGCCATTTATTACGAGACAATGAGAAATAAATAATCTTTAAAAAAAAACAATAACCTAATGGATTGATTCTAACTGGAGCAATCTCGAACGAGAGAGAAGTGAACTGTAAGAAGAAAAAAAAAGTCGTTGTGAAAGGGGCTTCGATTTGAATCTTTTATCGGTTTATATCTTTAACCAATGAAAGAAAAACATACGATAGACGGCGCTACAATACAACAATCTATTTAATAAAATGAGAAAAATGATTTTGAATTTTGTTTACTGTTACGATTAATTGGTAAAAAATCATATATATTTTTGAATCACACAATAAAATGCTAGAAAAAAATAGCACTATTATGCATGAGCTTATAAAAAGTTAATGACATTTTAATATGCGAAAGACTTGCAAGCGCACAATCATGTACAGAAGTTTAAGCGAATTTGTTTTCTTTTGAGTTGTATAGACACAGTTACCTTTTTTTATTTTTCCTTCACATTATAAGGTATTGATCCAGTCTAAATGTCATGTAGTAGGCCTCTTATAGTATCTGTATCATTTAATGTGAAAGAAAAATAAAGAAAATCAAACGTGTACAAAAACAAAATTAAAAAATATCAAATCGTATACAAAAAGAATTTCTAGTTTGCTTTCCCATAAGAGTTTTATGTCAATTTTCTAGAAAAACAACATGCTGTCTGTAATTGTGATATTGATTTGTCTATTTTCAGAAGTGCGTTTGAACCGTCAGTCGCACGCTATTTTTTCTGAAGAAGAATGGAAACAATCCATGTTATTTTGAGTTTTGGTAAAAACATTCATCTTTTTTAACATATCTAAGAATAGTTATTTTTAGAGGACCAGACGGAAAACTCTGTTTGCATATGATGCAACACGCCATTATTTCATACTTCCAATGGTTTCTTTAATTAGTTAGAACTATCTTACCAATGCACAAATATTACAGCTTATCATATTCTTAACCAATAACGAACAATAGGCAGAAAATTGTGTACAATGAATTTAAAGATTTCGATGATTGGTAGAAAATACTTCAGAAAGAAAAAAAAATTAGTAAAGAACAGCCTTCGCTAGTGGCATTTATATTGGCCATTTTTATTCACTATTGGAAATCCGAGATCGCCATCTTATTAATTTCATTATACATCACTAAGAATTCATCGGATATGTATGCAATAATGATTTATTAGAACTGAAATTGAGTTAAAAATGAAAAGCAGATAATATTTTAAAAAGCAGAAAAACATTGAAAAAGCAGAAACGACAGAAAAAAAGCAGAAGAGGTGGCGACTTTGTTCGCAAAATTTTGTTAAATTTTTTAATATAGAATGAAAATAAATGTTAGTACGTATTGTAGAATGTTTTATAAGAGTAATATACTTAATAGAGTAGTAAAGTGTTAATGAATAAATAAAGGTTAGTCATCGATAAGTCTTAACAATGTAAGAGAACACCGACGGTGTATGGCGAACCATAATTTACAACAACAATATCGGGTTTACTGTCGCTATTCACATCAACGACTGCTACTGATCGTGGAGTAGCACCAACTGCGTAAGTAGTTTGAGCAGTAAAGGTGCCGTTGCCTATGTTGAGAAGAACACCGACGGTGTTCGAACCAGTGTTTGCAACAATAATATCGGGTTTATTGTCACTATTCACGTCGACGACTGCTACTGAATATGGTTCACTATCAACTGTGTAATTAGTTTGAGCAGTAAAGGTGCCGTTGCCTGTGTTGAGAAGAACACCGATGTTGTTCGAACCATAATTTGCAACAATAATATCGGGTTTACTGTCGCTATTCACATCGACGACTGCTACTGCTACTGGGTACGTACCAACTGGGTAAGTAGTTTGAGCATTAAAAATACCATTGCCTGCGTTGAGAAGAACACCGACGTTGTTATCGCCATCGTTTGCAATAACAATATCGGGTTTGTTGTCACTATTTACATCGACGACTGATACTGCCGAAGGGTTAGTGCCAACTGTGTAATTAGTTTGAGCCTTAAAGGTGCCGTTGCCTGTGTTGAGAAGAACACCGACGTTGTTCGAA